TTGTGTATATATTTCCTATCGATATGTACAAATAAAACTTGTATATATATTTAAGGACATTCAGGACTGCCGCGCAAGACTGCAGCACGCGCCAATCAGGCGCGAGAACGGACGCGGACGCGCGAAGACTCCCAATCAGGAGCGAGGACTGCCGTGCGTGCGCGAAGACGTCCAATCAGGCGCGAGAACTGCCGCGCACGCCGCCAAGACTCCCAATCAGGCGCGAGGACTGCCGCGGACGCGCGAAGACTGCCAATCAGGAGCGAGGACTGCCGCGCACGCCGCATAACTCCAATCAGGCGCGAGGACTGCCGAACATGCGCGAAATTGCAAATTTAAAGGTTTAAAGGTTTAAAATTTCGTTGGCGCTAAAATGTAGCGTCAGCCATTGGTTGAACAATGAAGCAACTACTTACTTCTTTGTTCAACCAATGGTTGACGCTACCTTTTAGCGACAATGAAATTATCTTCCTTTATTCCTCCATTGTCCTCCAGACGGTCCTTTTATGTAATAAATATAATGCTCCATCTGTATACGTAATACGTCTATGCTCCGAGATGTAGGAATTACCTGGTCTGAAGTACTGTCGATCTTGTCGACGTTTGTGGTTTAATTAATCGATTCAATGATTATTGTATATAAATCATCGAATATCTTACTTATATTTTGATCTGTCGAAAAAATTATTACATTGACATTATAGATCAATATATATAATTGCAAATTTATAATTTAATATTGCTAGTCAAATGCCTAATGTCATAATGTCTAAGAATGTATATTATATATATTGATGTATATGATAATGTTAAAAATTAAAAATAAATTGCCATCAGTATTAAATAATTAAATAAAAATGGAGGAGAGAGCAATGCTATGGATGCTTTCTCTTGTTATGTTTGTTGGATCTTGTCTTGGAGCTGGATCACTGCCATTAAGTTAAATAAATTTATCAGAAGAAGTAAGATATAGAAGTGAAGAAGAATATTTTATGTAATATAAAATTATGTATGTATATAATAGGTGTATATCAGAATTCATTGTATCTTGTAATTTACGTGCAATATGTTTTCCATAGGACAAGTTACAATTAGTTTCAATATTAGGAGCAGGACTCCTTGTTGGTACTGCGCTAGCGATTATACCTGACTGTACCTGAGGGTGTAAGAGCATTATTTACTGTGGATGGTATTAATAATGAAAAAGGTTCGTATAGTAGTATTGTGCAATTGCATGTTTACTGATTACCATATTTCATGAAATTAACATCTGATTAATAGTATTCCTGTTCTTTTTTCCTTTTTTTACAGGCAATTTACATACTTTAACTTGGAATTAGTTTAGTACTTGGTTTATGCTTTTAATTGATCAATGTTCAGCCAGAAAAAGTGGAGGAAGACAAGAAAAGTATTACAGCAACTTTAGGTCTTATAGTAGATGCTGCTAGTTGATTGGCGGTGTTGCATTGGGAGCTGCTGCTACTACATCTCAAGCTGATGTCGAAGTGTCTTAGTTTTTCTTCGCAATAATGTTACACAAGGTAAGAAGGTTATATACAATGTTTCAGAAATGAATTAACAAGCGCTTATAAAATATGTAAGTTAATATAATTAGCTTATCAATTTTTTTATCGCTGAACATTAAATTATATTTTATAGGCGCCAGATGCATTTGGACTTGTGTCAATTTCTTCTTCATGAAGGTGTAGATAGAAAGTAAGAAAATAAGCAGACACTTATTAATTTTCTCTCTTGCGGCACCGTGTCTTGCACTTGTGACATATTTTGGAATTGGAAAAGTAATGTGAGTGAGTAATGTAAGCTGTGTTTGCCATAATAACTCTTTATATATATTCTAAAGATATTTCTACACAAAGTTTATGTAACAATATTGTATGGAAATATTACATTAGTATAGTAAATCTTATATTTGGATGAGGGCACTTTTACGAATTACATCCTTTTCCTGTCACTTAAAAAGAAGAAAACTTTAAGAACTTCCAATTTATTTCAAATAAATAATAATTATAATTAATTAATAACAAATAAATTAAAGTTTTTATTAAAATAAATTTGTTTAAATGAGTACAGAATATGAGAATACTAATATTAACGTAAAATTAATATGTATGGTCATATTGCTCATAATCTCATCTAAATTTAATTTAAATATTTGCAATTTTGGTAATAATACAAATAAAACTTGTATCAAGTAATATGAATATAATTTTGAATTTATTTTTAAGCTAAAAATCTTGGACCTTACTTTGTATCTAAAACATCCAACAATTTAGAGGGACTTTCTATTAAAGGACTTTAATTCTCTATATATATATCTACTGACAATTTCGAAATTAAAAATAAATAATATTTAATGTTTATTAAAGGCTATTCAGTATTTTCCTTTCTATAATATATCTAAAATCATTGAAATAGATGATCTGCTGATATTTTTAACTAAAATAGATTGAAACTGATTGGAGAACCTACTTGTTTTAAAAACTCTTCAAAATAATCGTTTTACAGTACATTTTTCAAGATTACTTATTAATTAATATTATAATATTGTTACATTACGTTAGATAAAGATTTCATTATCTTGCCTACATATTTTTTCTTCCTATTATACAAATTAATATTTTAATTTTGTTAAAGAGTATATGGAATGTATCGCAAGATGTGTACACATACAGTTACACCCCATATGCGCACTATACTTGTTTCTTTTGCTGTATACATATGCGTATTGTTTAATAGAAACATTTATTATCTGAAAGGAAAAAATGTTCCTGCTGATGCACAAAAGCGTAACGTCATATACTGATATATCTAAACACTTATGATACTTGCCCTACAGAATGACATAATTTAGATAAAGGAAAATACTTAAATAAAGTGTGTTAGTATTTTGTTTTATATTATAGAAACAAATTTGATGTAAAGTTTATATAATTGAAGTTGCATAAAATTACTCTGCTTGCTACAGTATGCTTGCAGATATCCAAACTGTCGAAACGCAATCTCTGCAATATACAATTGTTGTATGCATATATGTATGCAAAACATATAATGGTGCGAGTTGGGAAAAAAATGCTTTACGATTTAGAACAGATACATTAGAAGCAATTGTACTAAGCATTTAACGAATAAAATTCATTTATATATTATTTATTTGCCCAATATTTCTGTTATTAAATTACGTAATTTTTCCTTAACAGACACCTATTGTAATGAAATAACATACAGTGCACAAGATAGTTAATCAATATATATTATAGAGAAACAATAGAAAATCCGGGTACTAATTTTAGATATTTTTTTAAAGGATGAATGTTGTTTGTGTATATATTTCCTATCGATATGTACAAATAAAACTTGTATATATATTTAGGACATTCAGGACTGCCGCGCAAGACTGCACGCGCCAATCAGGCGCGAGAACGGACGCGGACGCGCGAAGACTCCCAATCAGGAGCGAGGACTGCCGTGCGTGCGCGAAGACGTCCAATCAGGCGCGAGAACTGCCGCGCACGCCGCCAAGACTCCCAATCAGGCGCGAGGACTGCCGCGGACGCGCGAAGACTGCCAATCAGGAGCGAGGACTGCCGCGCACGCCGCCATAACTGCCAATCAGGCGCGAGGACTGCCGAACATGCGCGAAATTGCAAATTTAAAGGTTTAAAGGTTTAAAATTTCGTTGGCGCTAAAATGTAGCGTCAGCCATTGGTTGAACAATGAAGCAACTACTTACTCTTTGTTCAACCAATGGTTGACGCTACCTTTTAGCGACAATGAAATTATCTTCCTTTATTCCTCCATTGTCCTCCAGACGGTCCTTTTATGTAATAAATATAATGCTCCATCTGTATACGTAATACGTCTATGCTCCGAGATGTAGGAATTACCTGGTCTGAAGTACTGTCGATCTTGTCGACGTTTGTGGTTTAATTAATCGATTCAATGATTATTGTATATAAATCATCGAATATCTTACTTATATTTTGATCTGTCGAAAAAATTATTACATTGACATTATAGATCAATATATATAATTGCAAATTTATAATTTAATATTGCTAGTCAAATGCCTAATGTCATAATGTCTAAGAATGTATATTATATAGGTACATTGATGTATATGATAATGTTAAAAATTAAAAATAAATTGCCATCAGTATTAAATAATTAAATAAAAATGGAGGAGAGAGCAATGCTATGGATGCTTTCTCTTGTTATGTTTGTTGGATCTTGTCTTGGAGCTGGATCACTGCCATTAAGTTAAATAAATTTATCAGAAGAAGTAAGATATAGAAGTGAAGAAGAATATTTTATGTAATATAAAATTATGTATGTATATAATAGGTGTATATCAGAATTCATTGTATCTTGTAATTTACGTGCAATATGTTTTCCATAGGACAAGTTACAATTAGTTTCAATATTAGGAGCAGGACTCCTTGTTGGTACTGCGCTAGCGATTATACCTGACTGTACCTGAGGGTGTAAGAGCATTATTTACTGTGGATGGTATTAAATAATGAAAAAGGTTCGTATAGTAGTATTGTGCAATTGCATGTTTACTGATTACCATATTTCATGAAATTAACATCTGATTAATAGTATTCCTGTTCTTTTTCCTTTTTTTACAGGCAATTTACATACTTTAACTTGGAATTAGTTTAGTACTTGGTTTATGCTTTTAATTGATCAATGTTCAGCCAGAAAAAGTGGAGGAAGACAAGAAAAGTATTACAGCAACTTTAGGTCTTATAGTAGATGCTGCTAGTTGATTGGCGGTGTTGCATTGGGAGCTGCTGCTACTACATCTCAAGCTGATGTCGAAGTGTCTTAGTTTTTCTTCGCAATAATGTTACACAAGGTAAGAAGGTTATATACAATGTTTCAGAAATGAATTAACAAGCGCTTATAAAATATGTAAGTTAATATAATTAGCTTATCAATTTTTTTTATCGCTGAACATTAAATTATATTTTATAGGCGCCAGATGCATTTGGACTTGTGTCAATTTCTTCTTCATGAAGGTGTAGATAGAAAGTAAGAAAATAAGCAGACACTTATTAATTTTCTCTCTTGCGGCACCGTGTCTTGCACTTGTGACATATTTTGGAATTGGAAAAGTAATGTGAGTGAGTAATGTAAGCTGTGTTTGCCATAATAACTCTTTATATATATTCTAAAGATATTTCTACACAAAGTTTATGTAACAATATTGTATGGAAATATTACATTAGTATAGTAAATCTTATATTTGGATGAGGGCACTTTTACGAATTACATCCTTTTCCTGTCACTTAAAAAGAAGAAAACTTTAAGAACTTCCAATTTATTTCAAATAAATAATAATTATAATTAATTAATAACAAATAAATTAAAGTTTTTATTAAAATAAATTTGTTTAAATGAGTACAGAATATGAGAATACTAATATTAACGTAAAATTAATATGTATGGTCATATTGCTCATAATCTCATCTAAATTTAATTTAAATATTTGCAATTTTGGTAATAATACAAATAAAACTTGTATCAAGTAATATGAATATAATTTTGAATTTATTTTTAAGCTAAAAATCTTGGACCTTACTTTGTATCTAAAACATCCAACAATTTAGAGGGACTTTCTATTAAAGGACTTTAATTCTCTATATATATATCTACTGACAATTTCGAAATTAAAAATAAATAATATTTAATGTTTATTAAAGGCTATTCAGTATTTTCCTTTCTATAATATATCTAAAATCATTGAAATAGATGATCTGCTGATATTTTTAACTAAAATAGATTGAAACTGATTGGAGAACCTACTTGTTTTAAAAACTCTTCAAAATAATCGTTTTACAGTACATTTTTCAAGATTACTTATTAATTAATATTATAATATTGTTACATTACGTTAGATAAAGATTTCATTATCTTGCCTACATATTTTTTCTTCCTATTATACAAATTAATATTTTAATTTTGTTAAAGAGTATATGGAATGTATCGCAAGATGTGTACACATACAGTTACACCCCATATGCGCACTATACTTGTTTCTTTTGCTGTATACATATGCGTATTGTTTAATAGAAACATTTATTATCTGAAAGGAAAAAATGTTCCTGCTGATGCACAAAAGCGTAACGTCATATACTGATATATCTAAACACTTATGATACTTGCCCTACAGAATGACATAATTTAGATAAAGGAAAATACTTAAATAAAGTGTGTTAGTATTTTGTTTTATATTATAGAAACAAATTTGATGTAAAGCTTATATAATTGAAGTTGCATAAAATTACTCTGCTTGCTACAGTATGCTTGCAGATATCCAAACTGTCGAAACGCAATCTCTGCAATATACAATTGTTGTATGCATATATGTATGCAAAACATATAATGGTGCGAGTTGGGAAAAAAATGCTTTACGATTTAGAACAGATACATTAGAAGCAATTGTACTAAGCATTTAACGAATAAAATTCATTTATATATTATTTATTTGCCCAATATTTCTGTTATTAAATTACGTAATTTTTCCTTAACAGACACCTATTGTAATGAAATAACATACAGTGCACAAGATAGTTAATCAATATATATTATAGAGAAACAATAGAAAATCCGGGTACTAATTTTAGATATTTTTTTAAGGGATGAATGTTGTTTGTGTATATATTTCCTATCGATATGTACAAATAAAACTTGTATATATATTTAGGACATTCAGGACTGCCGCGCAAGACTGCACGCGCCAATCAGGCGCGAGAACGGACGCGGACGCGCGAAGACTCCCAATCAGGAGCGAGGACTGCCGTGCGTGCGCGAAGACGTCCAATCAGGCGCGAGAACTGCCGCGCACGCCGCCAAGACTCCCAATCAGGCGCGAGGACTGCCGCGGACGCGCGAAGACTGCCAATCAGGAGCGAGGACTGCCGCGCACGCCGCCATAGACTCCCAATCAGGCGCGAGGACTGCCGAACATGCGCGAAATTGCAAATTTAAAGGTTTAAAGGTTTAAAATTTCGTTGGCGCTAAAATGTAGCGTCAGCCATTGGTTGAACAATGAAGCAACTACTTACTCTTTGTTCAACCAATGGTTGACGCTACCTTTTAGCGACAATGAAATTATCTTCCTTTATTCCTCCATTGTCCTCCAGACGGTCCTTTTATGTAATAAATATAATGCTCCATCTGTATACGTAATACGTCTATGCTCCGAGATGTAGGAATTACCTGGTCTGAAGTACTGTCGATCTTGTCGACGTTTGTGGTTTAATTAATCGATTCAATGATTATTGTATATAAATCATCGAATATCTTACTTATATTTTGATCTGTCGAAAAAATTATTACATTGACATTATAGATCAATATATATAATTGCAAATTTATAATTTAATATTGCTAGTCAAATGCCTAATGTCATAATGTCTAAGAATGTATATTATATATATTGATGTATATGATAATGTTAAAAATTAAAAATAAATTGCCATCAGTATTAAATAATTAAATAAAAATGGAGGAGAGAGCAATGCTATGGATGCTTTCTCTTGTTATGTTTGTTGGATCTTGTCTTGGAGCTGGATCACTGCCATTAAGTTAAATAAATTTATCAGAAGAAGTAAGATATAGAAGTGAAGAAGAATATTTTATGTAATATAAAATTATGTATGTATATAATAGGTGTATATCAGAATTCATTGTATCTTGTAATTTACGTGCAATATGTTTTCCATAGGACAAGTTACAATTAGTTTCAATATTAGGAGCAGGACTCCTTGTTGGTACTGCGCTAGCGATTATACCTGACTGTACCTGAGGGTGTAAGAGCATTATTTACTGTGGATGGTATTAAATAATGAAAAAGGTTCGTATAGTAGTATTGTGCAATTGCATGTTTACTGATTACCATATTTCATGAAATTAACATCTGATTAATAGTATTCCTGTTCTTTTTCCTTTTTTTACAGGCAATTTACATACTTTAACTTGGAATTAGTTTAGTACTTGGTTTATGCTTTTAATTGATCAATGTTCAGCCAGAAAAAGTGGAGGAAGACAAGAAAAGTATTACAGCAACTTTAGGTCTTATAGTAGATGCTGCTAGTTGATTGGCGGTGTTGCATTGGGAGGCTGCTGCTACTACATCTCAAGCTGATGTCGAAGTGTCTTAGTTTTTCTTCGCAATAATGTTACACAAGGTAAGAAGGTTATATACAATGTTTCAGAAATGAATTAACAAGCGCTTATAAAATATGTAAGTTAATATAATTAGCTTATCAATTTTTTTTATCGCTGAACATTAAATTATATTTTATAGGCGCCAGATGCATTTGGACTTGTGTCAATTTCTTCTTCATGAAGGTGTAGATAGAAAGTAAGAAAATAAGCAGACACTTATTAATTTTCTCTCTTGCGGCACCGTGTCTTGCACTTGTGACATATTTTGGAATTGGAAAAGTAATGTGAGTGAGTAATGTAAGCTGTGTTTGCCATAATAACTCTTTATATATATTCTAAAGATATTTCTACACAAAGTTTATGTAACAATATTGTATGGAAATATTACATTAGTATAGTAAATCTTATATTTGGATGAGGGCACTTTTACGAATTACATCCTTTTCCTGTCACTTAAAAAGAAGAAAACTTTAAGAACTTCCAATTTATTTCAAATAAATAATAATTATAATTAATTAATAACAAATAAATTAAAGTTTTTATTAAAATAAATTTGTTTAAATGAGTACAGAATATGAGAATACTAATATTAACGTAAAATTAATATGTATGGTCATATTGCTCATAATCTCATCTAAATTTAATTTAAATATTTGCAATTTTGGTAATAATACAAATAAAACTTGTATCAAGTAATATGAATATAATTTTGAATTTATTTTTAAGCTAAAAATCTTGGACCTTACTTTGTATCTAAAACATCCAACAATTTAGAGGGACTTTCTATTAAAGGACTTTAATTCTCTATATATATATCTACTGACAATTTCGAAATTAAAAATAAATAATATTTAATGTTTATTAAAGGCTATTCAGTATTTTCCTTTCTATAATATATCTAAAATCATTGAAATAGATGATCTGCTGATATTTTTAACTAAAATAGATTGAAACTGATTGGAGAACCTACTTGTTTTAAAAACTCTTCAAAATAATCGTTTTACAGTACATTTTTCAAGATTACTTATTAATTAATATTATAATATTGTTACATTACGTTAGATAAAGATTTCATTATCTTGCCTACATATTTTTTCTTCCTATTATACAAATTAATATTTTAATTTTGTTAAAGAGTATATGGAATGTATCGCAAGATGTGTACACATACAGTTACACCCCATATGCGCACTATACTTGTTTCTTTTGCTGTATACATATGCGTATTGTTTAATAGAAACATTTATTATCTGAAAGGAAAAAATGTTCCTGCTGATGCACAAAAGCGTAACGTCATATACTGATATATCTAAACACTTATGATACTTGCCCTACAGAATGACATAATTTAGATAAAGGAAAATACTTAAATAAAGTGTGTTAGTATTTTGTTTTATATTATAGAAACAAATTTGATGTAAAGTTTATATAATTGAAGTTGCATAAAATTACTCTGCTTGCTACAGTATGCTTGCAGATATCCAAACTGTCGAAACGCAATCTCTGCAATATACAATTGTTGTATGCATATATGTATGCAAAACATATAATGGTGCGAGTTGGGAAAAAAATGCTTTACGATTTAGAACAGATACATTAGAAGCAATTGTACTAAGCATTTAACGAATAAAATTCATTTATATATTATTTATTTGCCCAATATTTCTGTTATTAAATTACGTAATTTTTCCTTAACAGACACCTATTGTAATGAAATAACATACAGTGCACAAGATAGTTAATCAATATATATTATAGAGAAACAATAGAAAATCCGGGTACTAATTTTAGATATTTTTTTAAGGGATGAATGTTGTTTGTGTATATATTTCCTATCGATATGTACAAATAAAACTTGTATATATATTTAGGACATTCAGGACTGCCGCGCAAGACTGCACGCGCCAATCAGGCGCGAGAACGGACGCGGACGCGCGAAGACTCCCAATCAGGAGCGAGGACTGCCGTGCGTGCGCGAAGACGTCCAATCAGGCGCGAGAACTGCCGCGCACGCCGCCAAGACTCCCAATCAGGCGCGAGGACTGCCGCGGACGCGCGAAGACTGCCAATCAGGAGCGAGGACTGCCGCGCACCCCGCCAAACTGCCAATCAGGCGCGAGGACTGCCGAACATGCGCGAAATTGCAAATTTAAAGGTTTAAAGGTTTAAAATTTCGTTGGCGCTAAAATGTAGCGTCAGCCATTGGTTGAACAATGAAGCAACTACTTACCTCTTTGTTCAACCAATGGTTGACGCTACCTTTTAGCGACAATGAAATTATCTTCCTTTATTCCTCCATTGTCCTCCAGACGGTCCTTTTATGTAATAAATATAATGCTCCATCTGTATACGTAATACGTCTATGCTCCGAGATGTAGGAATTACCTGGTCTGAAGTACTGTCGATCTTGTCGACGTTTGTGGTTTAATTAATCGATTCAATGATTATTGTATATAAATCATCGAATATCTTACTTATATTTTGATCTGTCGAAAAAATTATTACATTGACATTATAGATCAATATATATAATTGCAAATTTATAATTTAATATTGCTAGTCAAATGCCTAATGTCATAATGTCTAAGAATGTATATTATATAGGTACATTGATGTATATGATAATGTTAAAAATTAAAAATAAATTGCCATCAGTATTAAATAATTAAATAAAAATGGAGGAGAGAGCAATGCTATGGATGCTTTCTCTTGTTATGTTTGTTGGATCTTGTCTTGGAGCTGGATCACTGCCATTAAGTTAAATAAATTTATCAGAAGAAGTAAGATATAGAAGTGAAGAAGAATATTTTATGTAATATAAAATTATGTATGTATATAATAGGTGTATATCAGAATTCATTGTATCTTGTAATTTACGTGCAATATGTTTTCCATAGGACAAGTTACAATTAGTTTCAATATTAGGAGCAGGACTCCTTGTTGGTACTGCGCTAGCGATTATACCTGACTGTACCTGAGGGTGTAAGAGCATTATTTACTGTGGATGGTATTAAATAATGAAAAAGGTTCGTATAGTAGTATTGTGCAATTGCATGTTTACTGATTACCATATTTCATGAAATTAACATCTGATTAATAGTATTCCTGTTCTTTTTCCTTTTTTTACAGGCAATTTACATACTTTAACTTGGAATTAGTTTAGTACTTGGTTTATGCTTTTAATTGATCAATGTTCAGCCAGAAAAAGTGGAGGAAGACAAGAAAAGTATTACAGCAACTTTAGGTCTTATAGTAGATGCTGCTAGTTGATTGGCGGTGTTGCATTGGGAGGCTGCTGCTACTACATCTCAAGCTGATGTCGAAGTGTCTTAGTTTTTCTTCGCAATAATGTTACACAAGGTAAGAAGGTTATATACAATGTTTCAGAAATGAATTAACAAGCGCTTATAAAATATGTAAGTTAATATAATTAGCTTATCAATTTCTTTTATCGCTGAACATTAAATTATATTTTATAGGCGCCAGATGCATTTGGACTTGTGTCAATTTCTTCTTCATGAAGGTGTAGATAGAAAGTAAGAAAATAAGCAGACACTTATTAATTTTCTCTCTTGCGGCACCGTGTCTTGCACTTGTGACATATTTTGGAATTGGAAAAGTAATGTGAGTGAGTAATGTAAGCTGTGTTTGCCATAATAACTCTTTATATATATTCTAAAGATATTTCTACACAAAGTTTATGTAACAATATTGTATGGAAATATTACATTAGTATAGTAAATCTTATATTTGGATGAGGGCACTTTTACGAATTACATCCTTTTCCTGTCACTTAAAAAGAAGAAAACTTTAAGAACTTCCAATTTATTTCAAATAAATAATAATTATAATTAATTAATAACAAATAAATTAAAGTTTTTATTAAAATAAATTTGTTTAAATGAGTACAGAATATGAGAATACTAATATTAACGTAAAATTAATATGTATGGTCATATTGCTCATAATCTCATCTAAATTTAATTTAAATATTTGCAATTTTGGTAATAATACAAATAAAACTTGTATCAAGTAATATGAATATAATTTTGAATTTATTTTTAAGCTAAAAATCTTGGACCTTACTTTGTATCTAAAACATCCAACAATTTAGAGGGACTTTCTATTAAAGGACTTTAATTCTCTATATATATATATCTACTGACAATTTCGAAATTAAAAATAAATAATATTTAATGTTTATTAAAGGCTATTCAGTATTTTCCTTTCTATAATATATCTAAAATCATTGAAATAGATGATCTGCTGATATTTTTAACTAAAATAGATTGAAACTGATTGGAGAACCTACTTGTTTTAAAAACTCTTCAAAATAATCGTTTTACAGTACATTTTTCAAGATTACTTATTAATTAATATTATAATATTGTTACATTACGTTAGATAAAGATTTCATTATCTTGCCTACATATTTTTTCTTCCTATTATACAAATTAATATTTTAATTTTGTTAAAGAGTATATGGAATGTATCGCAAGATGTGTACACATACAGTTACACCCCATATGCGCACTATACTTGTTTCTTTTGCTGTATACATATGCGTATTGTTTAATAGAAACATTTATTATCTGAAAGGAAAAAATGTTCCTGCTGATGCACAAAAGCGTAACGTCATATACTGATATATCTAAACACTTATGATACTTGCCCTACAGAATGACATAATTTAGATAAAGGAAAATACTTAAATAAAGTGTGTTAGTATTTTGTTTTATATTATAGAAACAAATTTGATGTAAAGCTTATATAATTGAAGTTGCATAAAATTACTCTGCTTGCTACAGTATGCTTGCAGATATCCAAACTGTCGAAACGCAATCTCTGCAATATACAATTGTTGTATGCATATATGTATGCAAAACATATAATGGTGCGAGTTGGGAAAAAAATGCTTTACGATTTAGAACAGATACATTAGAAGCAATTGTACTAAGCATTTAACGAATAAAATTCATTTATATATTATTTATTTGCCCAATATTTCTGTTATTAAATTACGTAATTTTTCCTTAACAGACACCTATTGTAATGAAATAACATACAGTGCACAAGATAGTTAATCAATATATATTATAGAGAAACAATAGAAAATCCGGGTACTAATTTTAGATATTTTTTTAAGGATGAATGTTGTTTGTGTATATATTTCCTATCGATATGTACAAATAAAACTTGTATATATATTTAGGACATTCAGGACTGCCGCGCAAGACTGCACGCGCCAATCAGGCGCGAGAACGGACGCGGACGCGCGAAGACTCCCAATCAGGAGCGAGGACTGCCGTGCGTGCGCGAAGACGTCCAATCAGGCGCGAGAACTGCCGCGCACGCCGCCAAGACTCCCAATCAGGCGCGAGGACTGCCGCGGACGCGCGAAGACTGCCAATCAGGAGCGAGGACTGCCGCGCACGCCGCCAAGACTCCCAATCAGGCGCGAGGACTGCCGAACATGCGCGAAATTGCAAATTTAAAGGTTTAAAGGTTTAAAATTTCGTTGGCGCTAAAATGTAGCGTCAGCCATTGGTTGAACAATGAAGCAACTACTTACTTCTTTGTTCAACCAATGGTTGACGCTACCTTTTAGCGACAATGAAATTATCTTCCTTTATTCCTCCATTGTCCTCCAGACGGTCCTTTTATGTAATAAATATAATGCTCCATCTGTATACGTAATACGTCTATGCTCCGAGATGTAGGAATTACCTGGTCTGAAGTACTGTCGATCTTGTCGACGTTTGTGGTTTAATTAATCGATTCAATGATTATTGTATATAAATCATCGAATATCTTACTTATATTTTGATCTGTCGAAAAAATTATTACATTGACATTATAGATCAATATATATAATTGCAAATTTATAATTTAATATTGCTAGTCAAATGCCTAATGTCATAATGTCTAAGAATGTATATTATATATATTGATGTATATGATAATGTTAAAAATTAAAAATAAATTGCCATCAGTATTAAATAATTAAATAAAAATGGAGGAGAGAGCAATGCTATGGATGCTTTCTCTTGTTATGTTTGTTGGATCTTGTCTTGGAGCTGGATCACTGCCATTAAGTTAAATAAATTTATCAGAAGAAGTAAGATATAGAAGTGAAGAAGAATATTTTATGTAATATAAAATTATGTATGTATATAATAGGTGTATATCAGAATTCATTGTATCTTGTAATTTACGTGCAATATGTTTTCCATAGGACAAGTTACAATTAGTTTCAATATTAGGAGCAGGACTCCTTGTTGGTACTGCGCTAGCGATTATACCTGACTGTACCTGAGGGTGTAAGAGCATTATTTACTGTGGATGGTATTACTAATGAAAAAGGTTCATATAGTAGTATGTGCAATTGCATGTTTACTGATTACCATATTTCATGAAATTAACATCTGATTAATAGTATTCCTGTTCTTTTTTCTTTTTTTACAGGCAATTTACATACTTTAACTTGGAATTAGTTTAGTACTTGGTTTATGCTTTTAATTGATCAATGTTCAGCCAGAAAAAGTGGAGGAAGACAAGAAAAGTATTACAGCAACTTTAGGTCTTATAGTAGATGCTGCTAGTTGATTGGCGGTGTTGCATTGGGAGCTGCTGCTACTACATCTCAAGCTGATGTCGAAGTGTCTTAGTTTTTCTTCGCAATAATGTTACACAAGGTAAGAAGGTTATATACAATGTTTCAGAAATGAATTAACAAGCGCTTATAAAATATGTAAGTTAATATAATTAGCTTATCAATTTTTTTTATCGCTGAACATTAAATTATATTTTATAGGCGCCAGATGCATTTGGACTTGTGTCAATTTCTTCTTCATGAAGGTGTAGATAGAAAGTAAGAAAATAAGCAGACACTTATTAATTTTCTCTCTTGCGGCACCGTGTCTTGCACTTGTGACATATTTTGGAATTGGAAAAGTAATGTGAGTGAGTAATGTAAGCTATGTTTGCCATAATAACTCTTTATATATATTCTAAAGATATTTCTACACAAAGTTTATGTAACAATATTGTATGGAAATATTACATTAGTATAGTAAATCTTATATTTGGATGAGGGCACTTTTACGAATTACATCCTTTTCCTGTCACTTAAAAAGAAGAAAACTTTAAGAACTTCCAATTTATTTCAAATAAATAATAATTATAATTAATTAATAACAAATAAATTAAAGTTTTTATTAAAATAAATTTGTTTAAATGAGTACAGAATATGAGAATACTAATATTAACGTAAAATTAATATGTATGGTCATATTGCTCATAATCTCATCTAAATTTAATTTAAATATTTGCAATTTTGGTAATAATACAAATAAAACTTGTATCAAGTAATATGAATATAATTTTGAATTTATTTTTAAGCTAAAAATCTTGGACCTTACTTTGTATCTAAAACATCCAACAATTTAGAGGGACTTTCTATTAAAGGACTTTAATTCTCTATATATATATCTACTGACAATTTCGAAATTAAAAATAAATAATATTTAATGTTTATTAAAGGCTATTCAGTATTTTCCTTTCTATAATATATCTAAAATCATTGAAATAGATGATCTGCTGATATTTTTAACTAAAATAGATTGAAACTGATTGGAGAACCTACTTGTTTTAAAAACTCTTCAAAATAATCGTTTTACAGTACATTTTTCAAGATTACTTATTAATTAATATTATAATATTGTTACATTACGTTAGATAAAGATTTCATTATCTTGCCTACATATTTTTTCTTCCTATTATACAAATTAATATTTTAATTTTGTTAAAGAGTATATGGAATGTATCGCAAGATGTGTACACATACAGTTACACCCATATGCGCACTATACTTGTTTCTTTTGCTGTATACATATGCGTATTGTTTAATAGAAACATTTATTATCTGAAAGGAAAAAATGTTCCTGCTGATGCACAAAAGCGTAACGTCATATACTGATATATCTAAACACTTATGATACTTGCCCTACAGAATGACATAATTTAGATAAAGGAAAATACTTAAATAAAGTGTGTTAGTATTTTGTTTTATATTATAGAAACAAATTTGATGTAAAGTTTATATAATTGAAGTTGCATAAAATTACTCTGCTTGCTACAGTATGCTTGCAGATATCCAAACTGTCGAAACGCAATCTCTGCAATATACAATTGTTGTATGCATATATGTATGCAAAACATATAATGGTGCAAGTTGGGGAAAAAATGCTTTACGATTTAGAACAGATACATTAGAAGCAATTGTACTAAGCATTTAACGAATAAAATTCATTTATATATTATTTATTTGCCCAATATTTCTGTTATTAAATTACGTAATTTTTCCTTAACAGACACCTATTGTAATGAAATAACATACAGTGCACAAGATAGTTAATCAATATATATTATAGAGAAACAATAGAAAATCCGGGTACTAATTTTAGATATTTTTTTAAAGGATGAATGTTGTTTGTGTATATATTTCCTATCGATATGTACAAATAAAACTTGTATATATATTTAGGACATTCAGGACTGCCGCGCAAGACTGCACGCGCCAATCAGGCGCGAGAACGGACGCGGACGCGCGAAGACTCCCAATCAGGAGCGAGGACTGCCGTGCGTGCGCGAAGACGTCCAATCAGGCGCGAGAACTGCCGCGCACGCCGCCAAGACTCCCAATCAGGCGCGAGGACTGCCGCGGACGCGCGAAGACTGCCAATCAGGAGCGAGGACTGCCGCGCACGCCGCCAAACTCCATCAGGCGCGAGGACTGCCGAACATGCGCGAAATTGCAAATTTGAAGGTTTAAAGGTTTAAAATTTCGTTGGCGCTAAAATGTAGCGTCAGCCATTGGTTGAACAATGAAGCAACTACTTACTTCTTTGTTCAACCAATGGTTGACGCTACCTTTTAGCGACAATGAAATTATCTTCCTTTATTCCTCCATTGTCCTCCAGACGGTCCTTTTATGTAATAAATATAATGCTCCATCTGTATACGTAATACGTCTATGCTCCGAGATGTAGGAATTACCTGGTCTGAAGTACTGTCGATCTTGTCGACCTTTGTGGTTTAATTAATCGATTCAATGATTATTGTATATAAATCATCGAATATCTTACTTATATTTTGATCTGTCGAAAAAATTATTACATTGACATTATAGATCAATATATATAATTGCAAATTTATAATTTAATATTGCTAGTCAAATGCCTAATGTCATAATGTCTAAGAATGTATATTATATATATTGATGTATATGATAATGTTAAAAATTAAAAATAAATTGCCATCAGTATTAAATAATTAAATAAAAATGGAGGAGAGAGCAATGCTATGGATGCTTTCTCTTGTTATGTTTGTTGGATCTTGTCTTGGAGCTGGATCACTGCCATTAAGTTAAATAAATTTATCAGAAGAAGTAAGATATAGAAGTGAAGAAGAATATTTTATGTAATATAAAATTATGTATGTATATAATAGGTGTATATCAGAATTCATTGTATCTTGTAATTTACGTGCAATATGTTTTCCATAGGACAAGTTACAATTAGTTTCAATATTAGGAGCAGGACTCCTTGTTGGTACTGCGCTAGCGATTATACCTGACTATACCTGAGGGTGTAAGAGCATTATTTACTGTGGATGGTATTACTAATGAAAAAGGTTCATGTGGTATGCAATTGCATGTTTACTGATTACCATATTTCATGAAATTAACATCTAATTAATAGTATTCCTGTTCTTTTTTCTTTTTTTACAGGCAACATTACATACTTTAATTGGAATTAGTTTAGTACTTGGTTTATGCTTTTAATCGATCAATGTTCAGCCAGAAAAAGTGGAGGAAGACAAGAAAGTATTACAGCAACTTTAGGTCTTATAGTAGATGCTGCGGAGTTGCGTTGGGAGCTGCTGCTACTACATCTCAAGCTGATGTCGAAGTGTCTTAGTTTTTCTTCGCAATAATGTTGCACAAAGTAAGAAGGTTATATACAATGTTTCAGAAATGAATTAACAAGCCCTTGTAAAATATGTAAGTTAAATATAATCAGCTTATCAATTTTTATTATCATGTTGAACATTAAATTATTTTTTATAGGCGCCAGATGCATTTGGACTTGTGTCAGTTTCTTCTTCATGAAGGTGTAGATAGAAAGTAAGAAAATAAGCAGACACTTATTAATTTTCTCTCTTGCGGCACCGTGTCTTGTGACATACACTTGTGACATATTTTGGAATTGGAAAAGTGAGTAATGTAAGCTATGTTTGCCATAATAACTCTTTATATATATATTCTAAAGATATTTCTACACAAAGTTTATGTAACAATATTGTATGGAAATATTACATTAGTATAGTAAATCTTATATTTGGATAAGGGCACTTTTACGAATTACATCCTTTTCCTGTCACTTAAAAAGAAGAAAACTTTAAGATTTCCAATTTACTTCAAATAAATAATAATTATAATTAATTAAACAAATAAATTATAGTTTTTATTAAAATAAATTTGTTTAAATGAGTACAGAATATGAGAGTACTAATATTAACGTAAAATTAATATGTATGGTCATATTGCTCATAATCTCATCTAAATTTAATTTAAATATTTGCAATTTTGGTAATAATACAAATAAAACTTGTATCAAGTAATATGAATATAATTTTGAATTTATTTTTAAGCTAAAAATCTTGGACCTTACTTTGTATCTAAAACATCCAACAATTTAGAGCGACTTTCTATTAAAGGACTTTAATTCTCACATATATATCTACTGACAATTTCGAAATTAAAAATAAATAATATTTAATGTTTATTAAAGGCTGTTCAGTATTTTCCTTTCTATAATATATCCAAAATCGTTGAAATAGATGATCTGCTGATATTTTTAACTAAAATAGATTGAAACTGATTGGAGAACCTACTTGTTTTAAAAACTCTTCAAAATAATCGTTTTACAGTACATTTTTCAAGATTACTTATTAATTAATATTATAATATTGTTACATTACGTTACATAAAGATTTCATTATCTTGCCTACATATTTTTTCTTCCTATTATACAAATTAATATTTTAATTTTGTTAAAGAGTATATGGAATGTATCGCAAGATGTGCACACATACAGTTACACCCATATGCGCACTATACTTGTTTCTTTTGCTATATACATATGCGTATTGTTTAATAGAAACATTTATTATCTGAAAGGAAAAAATGTTCCTGCTGATGCACAAAAGCGTAACCATATACTGATATATCTAAACACTTATGATACTTGCCCTGCAGAATGACACAATTTAGAGCAAATACTTAAATAAAGTGTGTTAGTATTTTGTTTTATATTATAGAAACAAATTTGATGTAAAGTTTATATAATTGAAGGAGTTGCATAAAATTACTCTGCTTGCTACAGTATGCTTGCAGATATCCAAACTGTCGAAACGCAATCTCTGCAATATACAATTGTTGTAAATATATGTATGCAAAACATATAATGGTGCAAGTTGGGGAAAAAATGCCTTACGATTTAGAACAGATACATTAGAAGCAATTGTGCTAAGCATTTAACGAATAAAATCATTTATATATTATTTATTTGCCCAATATTTCTGTTATTAAATTACGTAATTTTTCCTTAACATACACCGATTGTAATGAAATAACATAGAGTGCACAAGATAGTTAATCAATATATATTATAGAGAAACAATAGAATATCCGGGCACTAATTTTAGATATTTTTTTAAAGAATGAATGTTGTTTGTGTATATATTTCCTATCGATATGTACAAATAAAACTTGTATATATATTTAGGACATTCAGGACTGCCGCGCAAGACTGCACGCGCCAATCAGGCGCGAGAGCGGACGCGGACGCGCGAAGACACCCAATCAGGAGCGAGGACTGCCGTGCGTGCGCGAAGACGTCCAATCAGGCGCGGGAACTGCCGCGCACGCCGCCAAGACTCCCAATCAGGCGCGAGGACTGCCGCGGACGCGCGAAGACGTCCAATCAGGCGCGAGGACTGCCGAACATGCGCGAAATTGCAAATTTGAAGGTTTAAAGGTTTAAATTTCGTTGGCGCTAAAATGTAGCGTCAGCCATTGGTTGAACAATGAAGCAACTACTTACTTCTTTGTTCAACCAATGGCTGACGCTACCTTTTAGCGACAATGAAATTATCTTCCTTTATTCCTCCGTTGTCCTCCAGACGGTCCTTTTATGTAATAAATATAATGCTCCATCTGTATATACGTAATACGTCTATGCTCCGAGATGTAGGAGTTACCTGGTCTGAAGTACTGTCGATCTTGTCGACCTTTGTGGTTTAATTAATCGATTCAATGATTATTGTATATAAATCATCGAATATCTTACTTATATTTTGATCTGTCGAAAAAATTATTACATTGACATTATAGATCAATATACATAATTGCAAATTTATAATTTAATATCGTATAGTCAAATTCCTAATGTCATAATGTCTAAGATGCATATTATATATATTGATGTATATGATAATGTTAAAAATTAAAAATAAATTGCCATCAGTATTAAATAATTAAATAATTATATAAAAATGGAGGAGAGAGCAATGCTATGGATGCTTTCTCTTGTTATGTTTGTTGGATCTTGTCTTGGAGCTGGATCACTGCCATTAAGTTAAATAAATTTATCAGAAGAAGTAAGATATAGAAGTGAAGAAGAATATTTTATGTAATATAAAATTATGTATGTATATAATAGGTGTATATCAGAATTCATTGTATCTTGTAATTTACGTGCAATATGTTTTCCATAGGACAAGTTACAATTAGTTTCAATATTAGGAGCAGGACTCCTTGTTGGTACTGCGCTAGCGATTATACCTGACTATACCTGAGGGTGTAAGAGCATTATTTACTGTGGATGGTATTACTAATGAAAAAGGTTCATGTGGTATGCAACTGCATGTTTACTGATTACCATATTTCATGAAATTAACATCTAATTAATAGTATTCCTGTTCTTTTTTCTTTTTTTACAGGCAACATTACATACTTTAATTGGAATTAGTTTAGTACTTGGTTTATGCTTTTAATCGATCAATGTTCAGCCAGAAAAAGTGGAGGAAGACAAGAAATGTATTACAGCAACTTTAGGTCTTATAGTAGATGCTGCGGAGTTGCGTTGGGAGCTGCTGCTACTACATCTCAAGCTGATGTCGAAGTGTCTTAGTTTTTCTTCGCAATAATGTTGCACAAAGTAAGAAGGTTATATACAATGTTTCAGAAATGAATTAACAAGCCCTTGTAAAATATGTAAGTTAATATAATTAGCTTATCAATTTTTATTATCATGTTGAACATTAAATTATTTTTTATAGGCGCCAGATGCATTTGGACTTGTGTCAGTTTCTTCTTCATGAAAGTGTAGATAGAAAGTAAGAAAATAAGCAGACACTTATTAATTTTCTCTCTTGCGGCACCGTGTCTTGTGACCACTTGTGACATATTTTGGAATTGGAAAAGTGAGTAATGTAAGCTATGTTTGCCATAATAACTCTTTATATATATTCTAAAGATATTTTTACACAAAGTTTATGTAACAATATTGTATGGAAATATTACATTAGTATAGTAAATCTTATATTTGGATAAGGGCACTTTTACGAATTACATCCTTTTCCTGTCACTTAAAAAGAAAAAAACTTTAAGATTTCCAATTTATTTCAAATAAATAATAATTATAATTAATTAAACAAATAAATTAAAGTTTTTATTAAAATAAATTTGTTTAAATGAGTACAGAATATGAGAATACTAATATTAACGTAAAATTAATATGTACGGTCATATTGCTCATAATCTCATCTAAATTTAATTTAAATATTTGCAATTTTGGTAATAATACAAATAAAACTTGTATCAAGTAATATGAATATAATTTTGAATTTATTTTTAAGCTAAAAATCTTGGACCTTACTTTGTATCTAAAACATCCAACAATTTAGAGCGACTTTCTATTAAAGGACTTTAATTCTCTATATATATCTACTGACAATTTCGAAATTAAAAATAAATAATATTTAATGTTTATTAAAGGCTATTCAGTATTTTCCTTTCTATAATATATCTAGCGATCACGGGAGAACCTTAATAACATTTTCGCGTTACTAGCGATCACGGGAGAACCTTAATAACGTTTTCGCGTTGTTAGCGATGACGGGAGAACCTTAATAACGTTTTCGCGTTATTAGCGATCACGGGAGAACCTTAATAACGTTTTCATGTTATTAGCGATCACGGGAGAACGTTAATAACGTTTTCGCGTTATTGGCGATCACGGGAGAACGTTAATAACGTTTCCGCCTTATTAGCGATCACGGGAGAACCTTAATAACGTTTTAGCGTTATTAGCGATCGCGGGAGAACCTCAATAACGTTTTCGCGTTGTTAGCGATCACGGGAGAACGTTAATAACGTTTTCGCGTTATTGGCGATCACGGGAGAACGTTAATAACGTTTCCGCCTTATTAGCGATCACGGGAGAACCTTAATAACGTTTTAGCGTTATTAGCGAGCGCGGGAGAACCTCAATAACGTTTTCGCGTTGTTAGCGATCACGGGAGAACCTTAATAACGTTTTCGCATTATTAGCGATCACGGGAGAACGTTAATAACGTTTTCGCGTTATTAGCGATCACGGGAGAACCTTAATAACGTTTTCGCGTTATTAGCGATCACGGGAGAACGTTAATAACGTTTTTGCGTTATTAGCGATCACGGGAAAACGTTAATAACGTTTTCGCGTTATTAGCGATCACGGGAGAACGTTCATAACTTTTTCGCGTTATTAGCGATCACGGGAGAACGTTAATAACGTTTTCGCGTTATTAGCGATCACGGGAGAACGTTAATAACGTTTTCGCGTTATTAGCGATCACGGGAGAACGTTAATAACGTTTACGCGTTATTAGCGATCACGGGAGAACGTTAATAACGTTTTCGCGTTATTAGCGATAACGGGAGAACGTTAATAACGTTTTCGCGTGTTTAACGATCACAGGAGAACCTTACTAACGTTTTCGCCTTTTTAGTGATCACGGGAGAACATTAATAACGTTTTCGCCTTATTAGCCATCACGGGAGAACCTTAATAAAGTTTTCGCCTTATTAATGGCCTCGGGAAAACCTTAATAAGGTTTTCGCCTTATTACGGATCTCGGAATAACCTTAATAAGGTTTTTGCCTTATTAATGGTCTCGGGAGAACCTTAATAAGGTTTTCGCCATATTACGGGTCTCGGGAGAACCTTAATAAGGTTTTCGCCTTATTACAGGTCTCGGGAGAACCTTAATAAGGCGAGAACCTTAATGAGGCGAGTAGCTCATTGAAGCTTCTCCCGCTAACCGTAATAAGGCGAGAGGCTTATTCAAGCTTCTCCCGCTAACCGTAATAAGGCGAGAGGCTTATTCAAGCTTCTCCCGCTAACCGTAATAAGGCGAGAGGCTTATTCAAGCTTCTCCCGCTAACCGTAATAAGGCGAGAGGCTTATTAAAGCTTCTCCCGCTAACCGTAATAAGGCGAGAGGCTTATTAAAGCTTCTCCCGCTAACCGTAATAAGGCGAGAGGCTTATTAAAGCTTCTCCCGCTAACCGTAATAAGGCGAGAGGCTTATTAAAGCTTCTCCCGCTAACCGTAATAAGGCGAGAGGCTTATTAAAGCTTCTCCCGCTAACCGTAATAAGGCGAGAGGCTTATTAAAGCTTCTCCCGCTAACCGTAATAAGGCGAGAGGCTTATTAAAGCTTCTCCCGCTAACCGTAATAAGGCGAGAGGCTTATTAAAGCTTCTCCCGCTAACCGTAATAAGGCGAGAGGCTTATTAAAGCTTCTCCCGCTAACCGTAATAAGGCGAGAGGCTTATTAAAGCTTCTCCCGCTAACCGTAATAAGGCGAGAGGCTTATTAAAGCTTCTCCCGCTAACCGTAATAAGGCGAGAGGCTTATTAAAGCTTCTCCCGCTAACCGTAATAAGGCGAGAGGCTTATTAAAGCTTCTCCCGCTAACCGTAATAAGGCGAGAGGCTTATTAAAGCTTCTCCCGCTAACCGTAATAAGGCGAGAGGCTTATTAAAGCTTCTCCCGCTAACCGTAATAAGGCGAGAGGCTTATTAAAGCTTCTCCCGCTAACCGTAATAAGGCGAGAGGCTTATTAAAGCTTCTCCCGCTAACCGTAATAAGGCGAGAGGCTTATTAAAGCTTCTCCCGCTAACCGTAATAAGGCGAGAGGCTTATTAAAGCTTCTCCCGCTAACCGTAATAAGGCGAGAGGCTTATTAAAGCTTCTCCCGCTAACCGTAATAAGGCGAGAGGCTTATTAAAGCTTCTCCCGCTAACCGTAATAAGGCGAGAGGCTTATTAAAGCTTCTCCCGCTAACCGTAATAAGGCGAGAGGCTTATTAAAGCTTCTCCCGCTAACCGTAATAAGGCGAGAGGCTTATTAAAGCTTCTCCCGCTAACCGTAATAAGGCGAGAGGCTTATTAAAGCTTCTCCCGCTAACCGTAATAAGGCGAGAGGCTTATTAAAGCTTCTCCCGCTAACCGTAATAAGGCGAGAGGCTTATTAAAGCTTCTCCCGCTAACCGTAATAAGGCGAGAGGCTTATTAAAGCTTCTCCCGCTAACCGTAATAAGGCGAGAGGCTTATTAAAGCTTCTCCCGCTAACCGTAATTAGGCGAGAGGCTTATTAAAGCTTCTCCCGCTAACCGTAATTAGGCGAGAGGCTTATTAAAGCTTCTCCCGCTAACCGTAATTAGGCGAGAGGCTTATTAAAGCTTCTCCCGCTAACCGTAATTAGGCGAGAGGCTTATTAAAGCTTCTCCCGCTAACCGTAATTAGGCGAGAGGCTTATTAAAGCTTCTCCCGCTAACCGTAATTAGGCGAGAGGCTTATTAAAGCTTCTCCCGCTAACCGTAATTAGGCGAGAGGCTTATTAAAGCTTCTCCCGCTAACCGTAATTAGGCGAGAGGCTTATTAAAGCTTCTCCCGCTAACCGTAATTAGGCGAGAGGCTTATTAAAGCTTCTCCCGCTAACCGTAATTAGGCGAGAGGCTTATTAAAGCTTCTCCCGCTAACCGTAATTAGGCGAGAGGCTTATTAAAGCTTCTCCCGCTAACCGTAATTAGGCGAGAGGCTTATTAAAGCTTCTCCCGCTAACCGTAATTAGGCGAGAGGCTTATTAAAGCTTCTCCCGCTAACCGTAATTAGGCGAGAGGCTTATTAAAGCTTCTCCCGCTAACCGTAATTAGGCGAGAGGCTTATTAAAGCTTCTCCCGCTAACCGTAATTAGGCGAGAGGCTTATTAAAGCTTCTCCCGCTAACCGTAATTAGGCGAGAGGCTTATTAAAGCTTCTCCCGCTAACCGTAATTAGGCGAGAGGCTTATTAAAGCTTCTCCCGCTAACCGTAATTAGGCGAGAGGCTTATTAAAGCTTCTCCCGCTAACCGTAATTAGGCGAGAGGCTTATTAAAGCTTCTCCCGCTAACCGTAATTAGGCGAGAGGCTTATTAAGCTTCTCCCGCTAACCGTAATTAGGCGAGAGGCTTATTAAAGCTTCTCCCGCTAACCGTAATTAGGCGAGAGGCTTATTAAAGCTTCTCCCGCTAACCGTAATTAGGCGAGAGGCTTATTAAAGCTTCTCCCGCTAACCGTAATTAGGCGAGAGGCTTATTAAAGCTTCTCCCGCTAACCGTAATTAGGCGAGAGGCTTATTAAAGCTTCTCCCGCTAACCGTAATTAGGCGAGAGGCTTATTAAAGCTTCTCCCGCTAACCGTAATAGGCGAGAGGCTTATTAAAGCTTCTCCCGCTAACCGTAATTAGGCGAGAGGCTTATTAAAGCTTCTCCCGCTAACCGTAATTAGGCGAGAGGCTTATTAAAGCTTCTCCCGCTAACCGTAATTAGGCGAGAGGCTTATTAAAGCTTCTCCCGCTAACCGTAATTAGGCGAGAGGCTTATTAAAGCTTCTCCCGCTAACCGTAATTAGGCGAGAGGCTTATTAAAGCTTCTCCCGCTAACCGTAATTAGGCGAGAGGCTTATTAAAGCTTCTCCCGCTAACCGTAATTAGGCGAGAGGCTTATTAAAGCTTCTCCCGCTAACCGTAATTAGGCGAGAGGCTTATTAAAGCTTCTCCCGCTAACCGTAATTAGGCGAGAGGCTTATTAAAGCTTCTCCCGCTAACCGTAATTAGGCGAGAGGCTTATTAAAGCTTCTCCCGCTAACCGTAATTAGGCGAGAGGCTTATTAAAGCTTCTCCCGCTAACCGTAATTAGGCGAGAGGCTTATTAAAGCTTCTCCCGCTAACCGTAATTAGGCGAGAGGCTTATTAAAGCTTCTCCCGCTAACCGTAATTAGGCGAGAGGCTTATTAAAGCTTCTCCCGCTAACCGTAATTAGGCGAGAGGCTTATTAAAGCTTCTCCCGCTAACCGTAATTAGGCGAGAGGCTTATTAAAGCTTCTCCCGCTAACCGTAATTAGGCGAGAGGCTTATTAAAGCTTCTCCCGCTAACCGTAATAGGCGAGAGGCTTATTAAAGCTTCTCCCGCTAACCGTAATTAGGCGAGAGGCTTATTAAAGCTTCTCCCGCTAACCGTAATTAGGCGAGAGGCTTATTAAAGCTTCTCCCGCTAACCGTAATTAGGCGAGAGGCTTATTAAAGCTTCTCCCGCTAACCGTAATAAGGCGAGAGGCTTATTAAAGCTTCTCCCGCTAACCGTAATTAGGCGAGAGGCTTATTAAAGCTTCTCCCGCTAACCGTAATTAGGCGAGAGGCTTATTAAAGCTTCTCCCGCTAACCGTAATTAGGCGAGAGGCTTATTAAAGCTTCTCCCGCTAACCGTAATTAGGCGAGAGGCTTATTAAAGCTTCTCCCGCTAACCGTAATTAGGCGAGAGGCTTATTAAAGCTTCTCCCGCTAACCGTAATTAGGCGAGAGGCTTATTAAAGCTTCTCCCGCTAACCGTAATTAGGCGAGAGGCTTATTAAAGCTTCTCCCGCTAACCGTAATTAGGCGAGAGGCTTATTAAAGCTTCTCCCGCTAACCGTAATTAGGCGAGAGGCTTATTAAAGCTTCTCCCGCTAACCGTAATTAGGCGAGAGGCTTATTAAAGCTTCTCCCGCTAACCGTAATTAGGCGAGAGGCTTATTAAAGCTTCTCCCGCTAACCGTAATTAGGCGAGAGGCTTATTAAAGCTTCTCCCGCTAACCGTAATTAGGCGAGAGGCTTATTAAAGCTTCTCCCGCTAACCGTAATTAGGCGAGAGGCTTATTAAAGCTTCTCCCGCTAACCGTAATTAGGCGAGAGGCTTATTAAAGCTTCTCCCGCTAACCGTAATTAGGCGAGAGGCTTATTAAAGCTTCTCCCGCTAACCGTAATTAGGCGAGAGGCTTATTAAAGCTTCTCCCGCTAACCGTAATTAGGCGAGAGGCTTATTAAAGCTTCTCCCGCTAACCGTAATTAGGCGAGAGGCTTATTAAAGCTTCTCCCGCTAACCGTAATTAGGCGAGAGGCTTATTAAAGCTTCTCCCGCTAACCGTAATTAGGCGAGAGGCTTATTAAGTTCTCCCGTAACCGTAATTAGCGAGAGCTTATTAAAGCTTCTCCCGCTAACCGTAATTAGGCGAGAGGCTTATTAAAGCTTCTCCCGCTAACCGTAATTAGGCGAGAGGCTTATTAAAGCTTCTCCCGCTAACCGTAATTAGGCGAGAGGCTTATTAAAGCTTCTCCCGCTAACCGTAATTAGGCGAGAGGCTTATTAAAGCTTCTCCCCGCTAACCGTAATTAGGCGAGAGGCTTATTAAAGCTTCTCCCGCTAACCGTAATTAGGCGAGAGGCTTATTAAAGCTTCTCCCGCTAACCGTAATTAGGCGAGAGGCTTATTAAAGCTTCTCCCGCTAACCGTAATTAGGCGAGAGGCTTATTAAAGCTTCTCCCGCTAACCGTAATTAGGCGAGAGGCTTATTAAAGCTTCTCCCGCTAACCGTAATTAGGCGAGAGGCTTATTAAAGCTTCTCCCGCTAACCGTAATTAGGCGAGAGGCTTATTAAAGCTTCTCCCGCTAACCGTAATTAGGCGAGAGGCTTATTAAAGCTTCTCCCGCTAACCGTAATTAGGCGAGAGGCTTATTAAAGCTTCTCCCGCTAACCGTAATTAGGCGAGAGGCTTATTAAAGCTTCTCCCGCTAACCGTAATTAGGCGAGAGGCTTATTAAAGCTTCTCCCGCTAACCGTAATTAGGCGAGAGGCTTATTAAAGCTTCTCCCGCTAACCGTAATAGGCGGAGGCTTATTAAGCTTCCCCGCTAACTAAGGCGAGAGGCTTATTAAAGCTTCTCCCGCTAACCGTAATTAGGCGAGAGGCTTATTAAAGCTCTCAATAAGGCGAGAGCTTCTCCGTAACCGTAATAGGCGAAGGCTTATTAAGCTTCTCCCGCTAACCGTAATAGGCGAGAGGCTTATTAAAGCTTCTCCCGCTAACCGTAATAGCGAGAGCCCCCGTACCGTAATAAGGCGAGAGGCTTATTAAAGCTTCTCCCGCTAACCGTAATAAGGCGAGAGGCTATTAAAGCTTCTCCCGCTAACCGTAATAGGCGAGAGCTATTAAAGTCTCCCGCTAACCGTAAGCCTTAAGGCGAGAAGGCTTATAAAGCTTCTCCCGTAACCGTAATAAGGCGAGAGGCTTATTAAAGCTTCTCCCGCTAACCGTAATAAGGCGAGAGGCTTATTAAAGCTTCTCCCGCTAACCGTAATTAAGGCGAGAGGCTTATTAAAGCTTCTCCCGCTAACCGTAATTAGGCGAGAGGCTTATTAAAGCTTCTCCCGCTTAACCGTAATTAAGGCGAGAGGCTTATTAAAGCTTTCTCCCGCTTAACCGTAATTAGGCGAGAGGCTTATTAAAGCTTCTCCCGCTAACCGTAATAAGGCGAGAGGCTTATTAAAGCTTCTGCCCGCTAAACCGTAATAAGGCGAGAGGCTTATTAAAGCTTCTCCCCGCTAACCGTAATAAGGCGAGAGGCTTATTAAAGCTTCTCCCGAACCGTTAAACCCGTTAATTAAGGCGAGAGGCTTAATTAAAGCTTCTCCCCGGCTAAACCGGTAATTAAGGCGAGAGGCTTATTAAAGCTTCTCCCGCTAACCGTAATAAGGCGAGAGGCTTATTAAAGCTTCTCCCGCTAACCGTAATTAGGCGAGAGGCTTATTAAAGCTTCTCCCGCATTAACGAGAATAAGACGAGAGGCTTCTCCCGTTAACCGTAATAAGGCGAGAGGCTTATTAAAGCTTCTCCCGCTAACGGTAATAAGGCGAGAGGCTTCTCCCGTTAACCGTAATAAGGCGAGAGGCTTATTAAAGCTTCTCCCGCTAACCGTAATAAGGCGAGAAGCTTATTAAAGCTTCTCCCGCTAACCGTAATAAGGCGAGAGGCTTCTCCCGTTAACCGTAATAAGGCGAGAGGCTTATTAAAACTTCTCCCGTTAACCGTAATAAGGCGAGAAGCTTATAAAAGCTTCTCCCGTTAACCGTAATAAGGCGAGAGGCTTCTCCCGTTAACCGTAATAAGGCGAGAGGCTTCTCCCGTTAACCGTAATAAGGCGAGAGGCTTATTAAAGCTTTCGCCGTTTACCGTAATAAGGCGAGTAGCTTTATAAGCTTCGCCCGTTAACCGTAATAAGGCGAGAGGCTTATTAAAGCTTCGCCCGTTAACCGTAATAAGGCGATAGGCTTATTAAAGCTTCGCCCGTTAACCGTAATAAGGCGAGAGGCTTATTAAAGCTTCGCCCGTTAACCGTAATAAGGCGAGAGGCTTATTAAGCTTCGCCCGTTAACCGTAATAAGGCGAGAGGCTTATTAATGCTTCGCCCGCGCTGTTAACCGTAATAAGGCGAGAGGCTTATTAAAGCTTCGCCCGTTAACCGTAATAAGGCGAGAGGCTTATTAATGCTTCGCCCGTAAACCGTAATAAAGCGAGAGGCTTATTAAAGCTTCGGCCGTAAACCGTAATAAGGCGAGAGGCTTATTAAAGCTTCGCCCGTAAACCGTAATAAGGCGAGAGGCTTATTAAAGCTTCGCCCGTTAACCGTAATAAGGCGAGAGGCTTATTAAAGCTTCGCCCGTAAACCGTTATAAGGCGAGAGGCTTATTAAAGCTTCTCCCGGTAACCTTAATAAAGTTTTCGGGAGAACCTTAATAAAGTTTTCGCCTTATTAAGGGTCTCGTGAGAACCTTAATAAGGTTTTCGCCTTATTAAGGGTCTAGGGAGAACCTTAATAAAGTTTTCGCCTTAGTAAGGATCTCGGAAGAACCTTAAAAAGGTTTTCGCCTTATTAAGGGTCTCGGGAGAACCTTAATAAGGTTTTCGCCTTATTATAGGTCTCGGGAGAACCTTAATAAGGTTTTCGCCTTATTAAGAGTCTCGGAAGAACCTTAATAAAGTTTTCGCCTTATTAAGGGTCTCGTGAGAACCTTAATAAGGTTTTTGCCTTATTAAGGATCTCGGGAGAACCTTAATAAAGTTTTCGCCTTAATAAGGATCTCGTGAGAACCTTAATATTGTTTTCGCTTTATTAAGGGTCTCGGGAGAACTTTAATAAGGTTTTCGCCTTATTATGGGTCTCGGGAGAACCTTAATAAGGTTTTCACCTTATTATGGGTCTCGGGAGAACCTTAATAAGGTTTTCGCCTTATTATGGGTCTCGGGTGAACCTTATTAAGATTTTCGCCTTATTATGGGTCTCGGGAGAACTTTAATAAGGTTTTCGCCTTATTAAAGGTCTAAGGCCCGGTTGCACCAACATTATTTTAGGTTTAACATCCTTTGCACGTACAAAAATTTTAAACAAATTTTTCGTAACCACATAGTCGTAGGAAAAACTGGCAAATCATAGTCGATTATTCTTTTTGCGGTAAAAGAATAATTAACTGTGATTGGTCAGTTTTCTTACCACCTTACGATTACGACTAAAATTTTTGTACGTTCAAAGACTTTAAACGAAACATAAATATATGTCTGTCTTTATTTATTTAAAGAGAAAGATAAAGATAAATATATATTTAAGTTGGGAGCGTCGTGTTTGACCACGTTGCGATTGATCACAACCAATTGTATCTACCTGTGCCTAGGGTAACCAGCAACGATTAACCAATCAGAGAGTCCTATTTTGAATTGGTCAAGTGGCGACGTGGTCAATCGGGTGCCACCCATTTAAGTCTCGCTTAAAGCAAAAATAACGTTGGTGCTACCGCGCCTAAGAATGAACTATGAATAACGGCCATATAGAATGGATATATAGTTCTTATTACGTGTTGCCTAACCCTGTGCATGACCTTTATCTCGACCATTTTAACACACTATTTTTTTCCGTTTGCTAGATATAGGGTCTGTTCGTTTTAGCTGCACTGCTGCACTAGTGTTTTTAAGTTAGAAAGAGACAATCATACTTTCTTTCACTTTAACTAATTGCACTAGTGCAGAAGTGCAGCTAAAACGAACAAACCCATAAATTGAGTTTTTAATATGTTACAAAATTTTATTTGAATTGTGAGTGTGAAACGCGTAAATATTCTTGCTTTGATTTATTTTTACATCTGTTATACAAACAAGTTTTTGATACTTAACCTCAAGTTATTGTCAAATTATTCGATAATAATTACAGGTAGATTATTTAACATATGAATATTATAATTATTAAAAACTAAATTAACTAAATTAAAACTAATTTAATTATTAAAAACTTGACTAGCGTCTGAAATTACATTATTTCGAATGATGTATCTTGTCTATCATAGTATATCTTAACCCACAGATATTAAATATTATATGTAATATAGAATCTACAAAAAACTAACCTAAAATATACATGATATACTAGATCGTTTCTTTTATATAGAGTATTATATAGATTACATGCTCTGTAACATCAATACAAATAAGAAAAAAAGAAAGGAAAGAAAAAAAAGAATATGTTTATATTTTATGAAGAATATGTTTATATTTCTTGGATTTTATTGGTTTGTCATAATGGTAATTTATATTATTTATTAGTGAGCTTATTACATATATTTTGCTATATTTGTCCCATAATAGAGCTGGTGATGGGAGAGAAAAATTGGAAAGATTGGAAACCTTTTGTATATGGAGGTTTAGCTTCTATTGTCGCTGAACTTTGTAAGTGAATAATTGAATTGTAACGTTTGTGGATAAATTAAATAAATGTATGATAGACCTGCATAATTCTTACAGGTACTTTTCCTCTGGACACAACAAAAACACGCTTGCAAATACAAGGTCAAAAATATGATCCAAAATTTGCACGTTTAAGATATTCTGGTATGACAGATGCTTTATTACAAATATCCAAGCAAGAAGGAATTAGAGGATTATATTCGGGGTAAATATTTTTGCATAAAAGTAATGTTTAATAATAAAGATTTTATTACTATTCTAAAATTTGGAACTTATTCTATTTTTAAATATCATTATTCAGTTTTAAATGATTTTTTTGTGAAAAAAATATTTTATAGTTTAATTTAGAAGGAATAGCAAAGCTTTAAAATAATATAATTTTTTTAACTTATATGATGTGTCATTCTTATAAAATATTGAATATATAAAAGCAATTTTAATAGCAATTTTTTTTTATTATCTAGGATTAGTTCTGCAATCTTACGTCAAGCAACATATGGGACAATAAAATTTGGAACTTATTATTCTCTTAAAAAGGCTGTGATTGACATTTGGGCAATGAATGACTTATTCATGTTAAATATTGTTTGTGCAGCATTAGCTGGAGCTATTTCAAGTGCAATTGCCAATCCTACTGATGTGGTAAAAGTTCGCATGCAAGTTACTGGTGGTACTACAAACATATCATTGTTTACTTGCTTCCAAGATGTATACAAACATGAAGGTATTCGTGGGCTTTGGAGGGTAATTTATATTTTTTTTATATATTGTCATCTACACATACTTGTATATTCTAAATATTATGTTATTTAATATTTTTGTATATTCTAAATATTGTTATTTAATATTTTAAAGTAAAAATGGTCAAGTACATATAGATACTTTAAAATATATAATTATTTTAATTTGCGGTATAATAGTACAAGTAATTTTTAAAAGCAAAAGAATTATTAATTGCAAAAGAAATATAAAACACTAATTACATATTGCAACATTTTATAATTTTTACAATGATGAGTCATAATTTCCTGATGTTTTAATATACATACGACATATAAGTTTTAAGAGAAAAGTATTTACAAACATGTGAATACCATATTAATTATCTCTATTGATTAAATCAAAAATTATAATTAAGAACGTACTTATGGCACAAAATTGCTAATAAAAAATTTTATTTTGAAAGCATTTTTTGCACTACTTTTTTTTATCAATAACTAATTTTATCAACTTCATTTTATATACACAAATATCTTTATAAAATGCAGTTGATAAAATTAGTTGTCGATAAAAAAAAGTAATATATGTAAAAAATGCTTTCAAAATAAAATATTTTACTAGCAATTTTGAACCATAAGTACGTTCCTAATTAATACACACACACACACACACACACACACACACATATATATATATATGTATGTATGTATGTATGTATATATGTATGTATGTATGTATGTATGTATGTATGTATGTATGTATATATACAGTGTCAAGGCAATCTCTTCCAAAAAAAAAAAACTTGTAGCTTTCCTCCAGAGTTTTTCAAAACACTATAATATATTTTCATCGAGTACTTTTCGAGTTATGTGGCTTGAAATAATTTCTTAATATTTACATAAACCATAAAATATCTAGTAAAATATTCATTTTTCGATTATCTTACCTTAATACTTTTATGTACAAAATAATGAGAGGAATCAATTGATGTAAAGAAGTCACATAATTGTTTAGAAAAAAAAGTATGTAATTGTTAATTGCATATTTTTCCTTTGAAACAATTATGTGTTTTCTGTACACCAATTGATTCCTTTCATTATTTCATACATAAAAGTATTAAGGTAAAATAATCAAAAAAATGAATATTTTACTAGTTATTTTATGGTTTATGTAAAATTAAGAGATTATTTCAAGCCTTATAACTCGAAAAGTACTTGATGAAAAAATACTTTATTATAGTGTTTTGAAAATCTCTCAAGATAAGCTGCAAGAGCTTTTTTGGGGGAGAGATTGTTCTGACATTTGGTATACACATGTGTGTGTACACACACACACACACACACACACACACACAACACACACTTTGTTACATATATATATATATATATAATATATATATATATATATATATAAATTATAAAAATAATAGAATACAGAAAGGAAGCAATCAGAGCCAGTATATGGAATTTCATCTCTCTTGTTATCGTTCATTTATTATCAATATGATGTGTACATATGTGAATCTCTGTGTTCATGTCTATACTTGTTTTTTTCTCTTCGATTTCCTGGTCAGCTAACTTTGGAAGAGAATATTATTAGAGATAACGAACACGCTGAAACTTTTCAATTTTTCAGTTTAGAACAACATAAAAGATACGATTTTAAATTTGGCAATCATTTAGAGACGATTTAAAAATGACAGAATTTAATGTAATGGTTTCCAAAATTCGATTTATATTTAAATCTGTTATTGACTTTTTTTATTCATTTTAATTTAATTTTGTTATGTGCTGAGTTTGGTCTGAAGAAAGGATCAAAATGTTTACCAATTGTTTGAATCGATAAAGTTATATGCTTCTTTTCTTTATCTTATTTAATTAAATCTTATCTTATTAAGATAAGATTCTTTAGAGTTTTTATTTGTAATATTTTATATTCTTTAATATTTATAATATTTATAATATTTATCTTTTATCTCAGATAAATAAAATTTTTTCTTTTTTTTTTTTTAGGGTGTTGGGCCGACTGCTCAACGAGCGGCCGTTATCGCGGCTGTAGAGTTACCTATATATGACTACACCAAGAATAAATGTATGAGTGTATTGGGAAACAGCATTAGTAATCATTTCGTGTAAGTTTTTCTTGTCACTAAATGTGGATATTACTTCTACACAAAGTATTTTAAATATATATATATATATATATATATATATATATATATATATATTGATTATTGTGATATAAACATTTTAAATTTATGATAATCATGCTAAATTACATAAGTTTTAATAGAAACATTATTTACAGGGACAAGTTTCTATCTTTATGTGTATATGTGTGTGTGTATGTGTGTGTGTATGTATATATATATATATATATATATACACATATATACATACATAACTTCTAAATTACATATTTTTATTGATATAAATCTTATTTATTACATAATTATTATTGTCAATTAACCCTTATCCGGACAGCTAACATATCTATTTCTTTTAACAAAGCTGTCTTAATTTATAATAAGAAATTTATCCATATAATTTAATATTTGCAATTTATTTGACAATTTTTTTATGTGTGTGCGTCCGTGTGTGAGTGCGCGCGCAATTTTGTGTGTGTGTGTTTCTGTAAAATAGTAATAATTATTATGAAATATACTATATATATGTATCCATAGAGAAAACTTTTGATTAATTGCATAAAGGACTAGAGGATTTAATAATAAAAATTAAAACCACGACGTATGTATCAAAAATTTTTTATTTATTTGTGATACGATGTGTTACCTTGAATTGGTATCTAAAAATTTAACGTTATCATTATGAAAGATTGATTGAATATTGAAAAGACAAAGAAAAAAAGAGAGAGATTTGTATCTAAATTCTTTTTAATAATTCTTAATTTATTTATTTTGTTTTTTTTAACATATCCTACAAAGATACACATTATTAAGATATACATTATCGCACTGAGTATGGATTTCTCACATGAAATGAATTTTAGAAACAGTTTTTCATAAATATAAATATAATTCTCATCTTCATTTTACAAATATATATATATATATATATATATATATATATATATATATATATAATTTTCTCAACTTCTAATATGTTAGCAAATAAACTCCAAATACGAACTTTTTTCTTTTTTTCCTTTTCTCGCTCTGTCTCTTTTCCTCCTCTTTTTAACCATATGTTAAAACGTCAAAAACTCCTATATTTTTTTTACATATTATACACGTTTTCACTTGTGTATAGCACATATATATTTCAACTTATATATTTGAGAAAATTAAACATTTATTTTTGTATAATTTTTTAAAATCTGTATATCTATTTATATATCAAATACATCAACGAGATGTAACAGATCTTATATTTGTTTAAATATATATACAATAATAACAGTTTACTACTTATTTCCGATATATTCGAAAATTGATATATGTCGAAATTTTCAATTTTAAATTAATTATATTTATTAATATATATATTGTATCAAATATATTTATTAATTATATTTATTATATTATATTATATTATATTATATTATATTATATAATTATATTATATTATATTATTATATTTATTAATATATATATCAAATTCTTTCTGATTCAAAAATTAATATTTTCATTTTTAAATAACTGCAGGTTTAATTCAATTGTTAATGTTTTTGATTTAAAGAACAGTAATTTAAAAATTATAATCCATATATTGTGCGTTATTATAAAAAAGGAGTAAAACTCTCTTAAAATTTAAATTTTATTTCCAGATTCTTTGGACATTGTCATGCGTATGGGCACATGCGATAGACGGATTTTGAGATGACCAGAGAAGCTTGACACGTGCGCGGAAGCTGTGTTCAGCACTCTGTGTTTAATTCAAGAATTGTTATGATAATCGTCCATGCAGATGATTATACATGTTAATCTACTTTGAAAGTTTGATGAGACTTATTGGTTAGCGTTTATGCATTTTAAAGCTTTGAGAATGTTTAAGTTACTAACGAACCGTCACATAATTTCCTAATTTTTCTATTGTAGACAAAATTCTCTTTTGTTGACGCTTTTATTTCTATTCGTATTTGGAAATGTATTTTATCGAAATATTAAGTATCATCTCGCGCACAAATATGATATTTTATATTTTTTCTATAATATCTGGATAAGGGTTAATTTTTCTAAAACTATAATCTAAAACCTAAAATTACAGTATAAAAAATTGTTAAACTAATCAAATATTCGAAGTCCACTAATTGAAGGGCTATGCAATTAGATTAAAAGAGAAAGATATTTTTTTGTAAAATGTAATTTAAAATGTTATATTTTTAGGTATATAACATATTATGTAATCTGTATAATATATATATATATATATATAATGTAATTGTATGTGAATACCATTGCATCTTTTAGGTCGAGTTTTGCAGCTAGTATGGGAAGTGCTGTAGCTTCAACGCCTATAGATGTTATTCGCGTAAGTAAATTATTCTATATTTGTGCAATATACATAATTGATACATATTTTTTCTTATATATATATATATATATATATATATATATGAGACTGGCTCAGATATCAAGTCGTACGTGTTCGCCCAAACTCGATTTCGAGTTATTAGTAGATTTGAAGTGCAAATAGTGCGATCACATCAATCAATATAACTATACTGACATCATCTATTTTCAATGTCATACAGACATCACTTTTATGTGTACTTATTATGGAACGTCAAATTCTTCATTTCTCAGACTCGTACCACTTGATCGATACCATTTGAGTCTTTACACACACACTCGTTATATATATATATATATATATATATATATATATATATATATATATATATATATATATATATAGACATGTTTTCTGTTCTTTAGACTCGATTGATGAATCAAAGGAGAGTACACGTCGATAGCAATAAGCTCTCATCACACATTTACAATGGCAGTATAGATTGCTTGATTCAGGTATAAAACTTTAATTATCCAAGATATTTATATATACATATATGTTTGTCTCAATCATGGAAATTAGAATAAAGAGTCAGTTTTGAAATTAATGATTTTTAAATGATATTATTTAGGAGTCAATTTTTTGAAATCTATCTACATAATGATAATGTTTTTTAAATGATGAAATGAATTTTGTTATATAAATTTTCTGTATAAAGTACTGATGACAGTTTTACAGCATATTTAAAGCTTTATTCCATTTTCCATATTTTTATAACGTTTATACTTACTTTTTCAAAATGTATTACATCTCTAATATACCCATTTGTAAGAAGAATAATTTTGTTTCATATAGACGATTAAATATGAAGGAATTTTAGCACTATACAAAGGTTTCATCCCGACGTGGTTTAGAATGGGGCCATGGAATATTATATTTTTTATTACTTACGAGCAGTTGAAATGTTTGTGATGTATCATCAAATATTTATATCGAAATGTTTAGAATTTTTCGTCAAACTAAGATTTAAAAGAATTTAATGTAAACGTCATTATGTATAACGTTTACTATTTCAATCGTAATCTCAGTCGTAATTTGTTAAACATGAAAGTAATGTATTAATTATTTTAATGTGAGTATAAGATAGGTATATACATTTATATAAAGTACACAAAAACACAAATTACCTTTCAATCTTCCATTGGTATAATATTATAATTAATATAATTTTATAGAGAGAGAGAGAGAGAGAGAGAGAGAGAAACAGATATATGGAAAGAAAGTTGGAAATATTTAAGAGCTTCCCAAAGTACAAGCTTCCAAAATCTATTTAATTGAATTATGCAAACAAAAACTGTATAAAATTTATTACAAATTTATTTTGTCAATGTTCTTACAAGTAGGGTTATTCTGCTTCAATCTCGAAATTTTTGTACGTAATGTTTCAGGATCCATAAGATAATCTTCAGTGATAGATCTCACTTTAAGAGACTTAAGTTTTATTTAAAAATTCATGTTCTTCAATGTGTCTTTAAGGAGCTACATGTCTCTATTTAAGTTGCCCAGCTAAAATTGGTTGCAGGATAATATTGCGCATGATGTGTAACAATATTAGTCAATATTCTTTAATTTTTACTTGTTTTAAATTTTATTCAAAAGACGTGGAATATTGTAAAGCGTAATGCTGTTGCGCAAGCGATTGCCTACCTTATAGATGATGAGAACATGTAGCTTCTATAAAGAGTATGACTTTGTTGACAAAAATTGATTCTCTTGGTGACAATCTACCAATCCCTTGAAATTTGTCCTGAAATCTTATATATTCTTGTAAATTCGATTCTGTGTATATCAAATTCTTATTAAGTGTATCAATGAATATTGATGAATCCAAATGTTAAGTGCTGCATATAGAAACAAAAATTTAAGATTTATCGTAATGTTTTTTTATAATACTAGTCAATATTATTTATCATGAATACATGTTGAATCAATTTACTTTCAATACTTTTCCACAGCATTTATTGTTATACTTCTAGTACATATGCTAGTCATTCTAAGAGATTCTTATAAAATCAATATATTAAATTATATAATCTACATAAAGATCTACATAAAGATCTACTGATCTACTGATAGATATTGTTAATGTTATAAATAGTATTGATATTAAAATGTAGAATGGTTAATTTAATTTTGCAAAATTTTAATTTGCATATCATATAAATTAAATTTATATCTGTAAACATACAAATATACAGATCATATGATATAATTTTTATATCATACTGTGAACATGGTTTGTTTTCCACTAATTATAGGAGCACATGTCATGTTACATGTATAAATATGACTTTATTGTTGTTTAGCATTCTCTATTCTAAAACAAATTTTATATGTATATATATATATATATATATATATATATATATATATATATAATTTATTTATTTATATTTATAATAGAGTACAAATGTACATATTATGTATTTAATATTTAACATTCTTAATTTACAACACGCAATGCTTATTTTGCAATATTTAAGAGTTAATCAATCTGTATCAAACAATGATATAATAATTTATTTATTTGCAATGTGAAATCATTTATCTTTTTGTTAGAAAGACCAATATATATAGAAACACGTTTTTTCATGAAGGAAAATTATAAAATGTAATATATTATACAACACCGTATGCACGCACGTATACATACATATACATACATATCTACGCGCGAGCGCGTTTACATAATATTTTACAATATATAAATTACATTAGAATTTTAATGTTAATGTAAAAACTTATTAAAAAATATACATTAGAAATTTAATATATTCAACTATACTTTTTCTTCTTACATTCAAATAAGAAAAAGTTTAAATAATTATGTATATTGAACTTATTTTCTTAAAAAAAGGACTTGTAGAAAATATAAAATATATGGTACAATTTTACATGAATTTACTTTTCTTGAATATAAATTATACATATTTTTCAGAATAAAAATTATACACAAATCAAAAATTGCGATATATATTATATATATATATATATATATATATATATATATATATATATATACACACATTGCACGTATGTATGTATGTACGTATGTAATCTTCGTAGTATATATATATCGCAATTTATGATTTGTGTATAATTTGTATTCTGAAAAACATGTATAGTTTTATATATTTTTTTATATACGATAATTTTCATAAGGATAGGAAGGAAGTCACCGGAAGTAAGCTGTATAAAGTGAGTCCTGATATACAATAGATAATTTAAATGCTGAAAAGCGTCTTTTTTCATGTTGGTGCTCGACGCTCATTTTCAGCGTCGGAAGACATTACGTGATTAAAAATAAAGATATCAATTCGTCATTTTTTATCACGTGATATCTTTTGACGCCGAAAATGAATGTCCCATGAATTTGTACCTTTAATTAATTGAACAATCACATGGCGTTTTCGAATGGTCGGATCAAATCCGAAACGAATTAAATGCCATAAGGTCTGTTCTTTATAGTTGTGCTGGGCTGCACTATGTCAGAGGTTATCCTTTTTATTCTACATTGGGAGGAAAAAGATAACCTCTCAACTAGTGCAGCCAATTCAGCTATAAAGAACAGACCTAAACGACTCGAATGTGATTGGTAAATTCGAAGATAGAAACCAATCACATTCAATTGCTACTTAGCCGCTCAGTAAGCGGTTGTGCTTCTGAATGCACCCAATGGCTGCGTTCAGCAGGATAAGCTCCTTTGCAACTGTTGTAAAATTCGTGAATCTAATTGATGTATGCTCTTAGATTTATAGCGTTTTCCACTGACAGAACTGGTGCGCACTGAGTGCACATAAAGGTTATCACACACAATTTTATAATGACATAAGTAATTAAAGAAGTAAAATAATTAATAGTAAGAGCTATTATTATTGTTGTTCAGTATGAATAATGATAATAATACCTCCTACTATTAATTATTTTACCTTTTTAATTACTGTATATGTCATTGTAAAATTGTGTACGATAATCTTTATGTGCACTCAGTGCGCACCAGTTCTGTCAGTGGAAAACGCTATTAGCCAAAATTAAGAGCCTACACTAATCAGGTTTATGAATTTTATACCAGTTGCAAAGCAGCTTTTTCTGCTAAACGCAGCCAATGCAGGACGGGTTTCGATTACCCACGTCACAAATTGGCCAATTCAAAATAGGACTCTCTGATTGGTTAATCGTTGCTGGTTACTCTAGGCACAAGTCGATATGATTGGCTGTGGTCAATCGGAACGTGGGCAAACGGGACGCTCCCGCCAATGTATCGCTTCACACTGTTTACCAACGCAAGTTCTGATTGGCTTCTGCTTTTCTGCGAAAAGTGTGAATGCGTCCTTATAATATGAATCGCACTTCTCATTTTTTATAGACTAAAGCCTCTTGCACAATGCTAGGCAACTGGCAATAGAAATAAGGAATAGAAACTATTCACCAATAAATACGGGGAACAGAAAATATTCGCCAATAGGAGAAGAGAATAGATACTATTTCTATTCTTATTGCTTGGTCCCTAACATTGTATAAGGGCCTTTATATCATCAGAAATACAATTGGTCACACTGAATTATTTTGTCATGTTGGCAACTCTTTAATCAACGATTGAGTTAAATGGAGTTTCGTCGAAGCGGCCTTTCGGCTTTTAAAATTTTCTTTTTTATTCTTTTTTTCATATTTGTATAATATTTATATTTGTCTACATAGTAAAGTAGTAAATTTTTTTAATTTTATTTAATTATAAAAATAAACTATATACTTTAACTTTATTTTTACCAAAAAAAAATAGTTATTATAAGGTTCGTTTTTTTGTAAATAAATTTTTTCTTTCTTTATTCCTCTCGTTACTTCATACACATATAATATTTAAATCAGTGTATTTAAATAATTTTTATGAAAATTTAAAATGCAAAATTAAAAACTAAACATTTAAGCAATTTTATTATTATAATTATGTTATGTTCTTGTAGATTGTACAGTGAATAATTACATAACTAAATATTTATGTAAACACTTGTATCGCAATTTGTGATATGGATGCAGATATATTAAAAACAATATTAAAAAGTTATAGTGATGGAGAAAATGTTGTTCAATCTGAGAATTGCAAAAGTGTATCAAGAGAAGCTTTGCTATTCTCACAGTCTGATACAGTGTTGAGTACTTTGTGTACATCGCTGAGCAATCTCTTGTGTTATAAGGTATCAAAACAAGTTTATCAGCGCTATTCAGTTCGACTGTTGATAATTGTAAGTTAATTTCTTTTATAATTAAAATATATCTTCTTTAACTAATTTTTAAGTTTTTTAATTAATTTATATTTTAGTATAATTACATTCCAGGATAACCTGCGGAAATGGTGCAGAATAACAAGTAATTTTGAACATTTATCAATATTTACATCCAAAGAAAATAGTTTGAGGTTTGCGAACATTCTGTTGGAGAAGCATCTCACAGATGACATTTTGAATGAATGCTGCTCGGAAGATGCTTTGATTTCTCTAACCACTGCTATAATGCACCTGTCGTTTGAGAATTCATCCTTCGTACATCACATGGATAGATTACTTATAAGACTTTCACAATTAGAAACAAATAATAAAATTGAAAGATTATTACATAATTCTCTATGTTCGAATTTGCATCTTAAACTATCTACAAAAGAAGAGATATATATTGTGCAAAAATTTAAATTAATAGAAAAACCATTGCTCGACAGTTTTCTATGCACATTTTCTGAATCGAAGAATGAAAATTGCATAGATAATCAGAATAATGAGCAGACATTGAATCAATTATTAGAATTTAGCATTGAGTCTATGTGTGTTTTTCAATTAATATTTAATTTTTTAAAGGAACTGTTTGTTCAGTTGCATTATTCTCCTACAGTTCTACAGTTTATAGATTTAATATTAAAGCGGATATCTGTTTGTTGTGAAAGCCAAGATAAAGATATATTAGAACTTTATCCCAGAAAGTTACATTCTTGTATAATCTTATTAAGGATAAAGCCTGAGCACCATACAGTGCAGACACGAAAATATACATTACAAGCTATGAAACAAATCTGCAATGAAAATAATGATGTTTTATTAATTATAATGTCCCATTTTCCTGAATGGCTTGAATATTATGCAAATTATATTACGAATGATGCACGAAATTAATTGTAGAAAAAATCTGCAAATTTATAAAAGTACGTAATAATTTTATCATCGCCTTAATGTAATAATATATAACATTAATATAATTTTTTATTAATTATGAAAAAGTTTATATCTATATTTATTGCATATTTTAAAATAAATATTACTTTTTTAAGAAAAACTATAAGATATGTATATCAAAAACAGATCTTTTTATTGTTATTGTTTGGCCACAAAAATAAACGCTGGAATGTTCTCTAAGAAAATCCAATATAATAAAAGATCGATAGTTTCTAAAGTCTCGAATCGTAACGCGTTCACTTTCATGTTTCTAAAATACATCTTACATTTATCTTATATAAATTGAATTGAGATAATGAAATGTATCATAATATATTCTTCAAATCAAATATTTTTCTAACTCGAAGGAAAAAAAGCTAACATTTTTTAATACGTAAAAATATGTTCATTTTAGATGCCAAATGAAAAGAAATATTTTCCGGCATGATTCACTGCATTAAACTATAATAAATGTTAACTTTCAATTATGTCATTTAAAAAATTGTAGAAAACATTTACTATATAAACTAACGTAATAAACACATTGCTGAATATAAGAACAAAATACAGTTTCCTAATGAAAAATTGATAAATTGATATATCTATCATAGGATTAATGTTCTCTTCTTTTTCTTTTTTTTTTTTCTAATCAAAGAAATTTCGGAAAATTATTTTAATCGCCATATTTGTGAGTAAAAATCATTACTTCTATCGTTATATAAAATCGTTTTCACTAACATTATGTAATCGAATGATGCTAATAGTAATGCTTCTTTGCTAATACGTTACATTTGAAATTTAGTTTAAATACCTTTGTATATTTGATATATATTTTCCAGGAGTATATTATTAGTTCTGCTATTGTAAGCATTTAATTACTATTCAATTCTCAAATTCATAATTTAGTTTGGCGCCTCTTTTGTTCGAAACACGTCTTAAAATTTTACGTATATTTCGTAAGTAACTTGCAAATTGATAGCTCGTGCGAATTTCTACACATGCACGCATTATTCAAGTTCAAATTGGGGAATAATTGTTTCAATTGTTCAGTTATCGAAATAATCTAAATTTTTTTAAGGTTTTCTAAAAATAGTTAAAAATGATTCGTTCTTGAAAATGAATGATTCTTTTGTAAAATTGAAATTAGTCACACGGAGCAGGATAAGCGGCGTACGCAAGAGAAAAAAATTGTAGAATTGATACGCGTAATTTATGATTTCGCGTTTTCGAATGGAAAATTCAAGAGAGTATCTCGCGATACCCGGTGAAGCGAAAACAATAAAATTTCAATTTCGCGTTTGACATAATCACAATTAAAGAAAAAAAATACATGCTTCCAGAGGTAAATGTCGAAATAGAATTTCACGGTCAATCGAAACTCATGGGTGGAATTTTATATCGCTTTTAATATATACGTTAGATCCTATTTCTTTCCTCTCGTTACGCGCATTCCGCGTTATTGCGCGTCCGCATTTAAACACGAATCACCTCCAGTTGCGGGTTCACTTGCTGGACCTCCCGAGATACTCTGGAACTGCTAGAGGCTGTTTCTTCGGACATTGTGCTTTTGCTGGACACAGTCGTTGCGGAGTGGGACGGGGATGCGGCGGCGATAGGAGCGGAAATGGACTTTACAGGATCGATGGAGGACGATGGCTCCGTTTGACGCGACAAGGATCTTCGTCTCTTCAGGAATTCACGCTGCCGCTGATCGGCGTTTTGAACCTTCTCCGTTTTGCTCTTGCCGCCGGTGGATCGCACGACCTGCCAGATCAAGGTAGCGATTATAACGGAAAATCGCTACACGAATAATACGATGCTGCGGCAGAGATCTTGCAGAGTATAAGAGAAATTACTGTGCGCGCAATAATAAAAATATCTATATGAAATATTTATATTAATCCGAATAGTCTTGCACCGCTTTGTTTAGGCAGTCGACATTATATGGATCTATTACAGTGATTATTCAAAGTCCATTTAAGGCTAATATACCTGTAATATATTTCTCAATATACAAATTCGAAGCAAATAGACGCAAAGCTACGAAAAGAACAAATATGGGAAATAATCATACAAGGATGCGAGAAATATTCTTCTTCGAACTTGCATAAAAAATATATTTCAGACAATAACGTTAGATGGACGGCTTTATGTTAAGAAAAAAAAGATTTCAAATGGAAAATTAATGGAATTAAAATACATAAAAATGTGATGGATAAAGAACTGAGATATCGTCTGATAATTTTTCTCTATAAAATGCAAGAAATTGAAAGTTTAAAAATCCAGATTTCACATAAAATTCATGGAGCTGAATATATCTAAAAGATCATGGTTTAAAATCTGTATCTGAGAAGAACATATAAAGAAGGCACCAAAAACGCATAGATATACACACACACAAGATTCTCTTATTGCAATCATGTTAGATTATGACGTTAGAAACGAAAACTATACAATCCTTCTTGCATTACAGATGGAAATAAATTTTTTTTTCATATGCCAATATTAATATTCGATAAAATAAATATTCGATAAGTATTTTTTTTTATTCATAAATGAAATTATTTGTATCAATTATTTTCATATAAAAAGAAAACAAAATGCACACATATGTTTCGCAGATCTATTCTTAATGTACACATACACACACACACGCACACGCACACACATATATGTATGTATGTATGTGTATATATATATATATATATATATATATATATATATATACATACACACACACATACATACATACACATATATATACATATATATATAATGTATGTGTGTGTGTGTGTATATATATATATATATATAAAACGGCATATCAAAAAATTACTTTATTTCAATGTATACTGTAAGAATATATCATGATTTATTTTTACTTCTAACGTCAAAATCGATTGCATAGTAGACTATGAACGAAACGAGTCAATATAATAAATCAAGAATGTAACACGAATTTTAGCATTAAAAATTTCTGAGAGAGATTCTCATGTTAAAAGTTTCATAATCGAAATAATGCAACTCTTTTTTTTACGTACAGTTGCATATCATTATTTAACCAAGTAATTTTCAGCACGAACAAACTTTTTGATAGCCTTATGTGATCTATTTAACTCTTTCAAAACTCTCTCAAAAGTTTCTCAAAAAATCTTTATACAGTCCGACACTTGCTGTTATACATGCGTGCGTTGCACATATTTGACGCAAAATCGATTAATTGCTTTTACAACAAAAGAATATTTCGTCCTTTGTCACGCCTGTTGTATGCGATTTATTCGAAATGGTCTATATATCATAATTTAAAAGGGAGATAGAGAGATGTACTCGTATAGATTTGTGTGCACTTTTGACTTCAGAGGAAAGAGGATTTGTCGATTTAAAGTTCTGTCCCAGTGAGAAATGATAAATTGAATAGATGTCTAAAACGTTTAACAGACATCTATTAAACGTCTTAGATTAGATGTCTATCCGACTTGTCGATTCTCACTGGGATTTTACACGATTCGTAATTTACGACGCAATTTTCGCAATTTAGACATTGTATACAACAAAAATCGAACAAATTGATATTGACGATTTTAAGAGAGAAATATTGCTTGAAAAAAAGTCTAGTTTATATCACAATTTAATTTTGAAACACACTGTAAAAGTTTGATTATAGAGAATATTGACTTTTAAGTGTATTCAGATACTGAATAATGTATAATCTTAATAAGTATGAGCGAGAAAGTATTTTCTGCATACATTTTGTTATAAATAGAATTTTGTCGTAAATTTTATCATTTTGCATCGTGGAAAACGAACTTGATGCACCCTCAGGACCGATCGTATCGATTTTAAAGGGAATGCTGGAGAGTATCGGGACAGATTTTCTTTACAATTTTTTCATTCGATAAGAATATCCGGGTAAAAGTATAGACAGTAGAAATGTTATAAAATGAAATGCTCTGTTACCTTGTAAAACGTGTTACATTCAACATCGATGCGATGAATCTTTTTTTTTTAATTTTCTTTTCGTTCGAACGTGTGAGCCATAGAGTATTGTATATTTCTATTTTTGTTTTTCTTTTCATCGTTCATTTATCTGTCATGTATATTTTTTTTTCATCTCGAAAACGCAACGTCGAGTAAACAGTGATTTTTCTGCGTGATTATTTCTTTTTTCCTTTTTCATTCTTTCCTGATTCGGTTATCCTTCTGCTGCTTATCCTGCTGTTTAAGCGCTTTTCTGTCAACCACATTACAATACATACATTACACGATCATTCGCGTTATATGCACGTAGTACGCGCGTTAAAGACGATATTTTTTAGCAACTATGATTTCTATTTTGCAGCATGGGCGAAAGGTCGTGACTGATCCCAGAGATGTGCATTTTCTGAATTAGAATCCCTCGGATACGTTGGACCATTCAGAATCCTTAAATAATAATTGGATCTTCGAAAAATCCTCGGAATTTTAGAAAATCTCGAATTCGAGAATCCGCGGATCTGATCCGATTATACGGGATATTACAGATCCTTTGACATGTCGTGGAATCTAAAAGTTTCGAAATCTTGGTTCCTCGGATGCACTTGGGAAAGAGGGATTCCTCAGAATTCTCAGGTTTCTCGGACATTTATTTAAGATGCGTGAAATTCTCCTCGTACCTATCCCCGGTTATCGTGCCAGTGAACCGATCTTTCGCCCCCGACGTCCTTTTTTTCGTGTGTTTATTTTTTAATAGTTAATATTGAAGTATGTTACAAACTATGTGGCGGAAAAATGTTTATCCGAAGAAACAATTTGGTACGAATTTGTGTCTGACAAAACCTTCGAGCATGTAACATTTCGAAAACTCGACTCGCGCGATAAGTATTTATATAACAATTAATATTATGCTGATATATCAATCTTCCTCGAGAGAGAAATGAGTAACGTTTGCGCGCTGCGTTAAACATTTTTTAATGTCGCATCTACCTTTACATGATGCCTATCTTATATCAAGGACGATGCACCACGAAATTATATATAATATATCACGTTGTCCAAACGTTTCTGTGTTTATATGTGGCAAAAATATATTATTCGGATGTAGACGGATAAATTTCCTTCGCGATATACAGAAATGTCTCGCAAATGTCTTACGCAAAGCAAAATACCTCCGACGATGATATCCTTGAGATGATTATATATATATATATATATATATATATATATATATATATATATATATATAAATTGATTACAATTAAGTGTGATGCGAGAGAAGGATACTTGTACTATGTGCATATGGGAAGATGAAAAACATTGAAAGTTGCAACAGACTGTTATCTTTAATAAATCAAATGACATACAAAGGCCAATCGCAGTACTTCTCACTGTTTTCTGCAACAACAAACTTTGATTTTCGTTACGCTATTGATATAATGTAGTAGTTCAAGGACACGTATATAATTCCTGCGTATATAACTCTCTGAAAATCGCGGTGTTAACGTAATTCGACGGCGCATCGTCCTCGTAATCTCGGCAATTTTCTCATCTCAATTTCTTCTCTCGCCTTACAAAGAGTACGCACGCACGCTCGCTCGCTCGCTTCGATTGTCGAGCCTATACACGTACACAAATTAACATTCACGCACGCATGCACACACGCGAGAGCGCGCCAGGAGAAAAAAAAAGGAAAACGCAACGCACCGAAGGATAATTACTCGATCCGCTAGATCACGAATCTAGATAATGTTCAATTTAACACCGTCGATCCAAGTTTTGATGGTATTAATCGACCTCTCATCGAATCTCTCCATCTCTCTCTTTTTGGCTCGCATCTGTCTCTCATTGCCTCGCTTCTCCACGTCTCTTTCGCATTCTCTACATCAGACCTGAATGGACCAATTAGAAAATACGGAAACACAAATCTGAGAAGAGAAGAAAATGTGTTTACTTATGTAAGTAGAGACGCGAGGAAAGAGAGAGGGAGAGAGAAGGAAGGACTCGGCTAAAATCGAGATTGATTGGGATGAGAGGAATAAAAGGATGGAGAACGGAAAAGCCATTAAATTCGCAAGCTCGACTAATCGTTGTCGTGTGATGCATGCTAAAAAGAAAACGAAAGAAATCAGCCCGTTCGAGACTGGTTCCGTTATTAGCAATCTCAGTACACAACAGCGCTCCGATAATATAATAGATACTAATAGTTAATCATAGCGTAATAAAAAGAATAATCGTAATAGTAAGAATAATGACAATATAATCGTAATCGTAATCGTAATCGTAATAATAATAATAATAATAATAATAATAATAAAAATAATAATAATAATAATAATAATGATAATGATAATAAAAATATTCGCAGCAACGAAACAGGATTTCCATACTAGATCAAGCTTCAGCTTGATGAAGCTTTGCTTCTTTTTATGAGCCACAATTTCGCGCAGCGAGAGATTACGTTGCGATCGCGACGACTCGTCTTGCAATGAAAGACGTAAGCCGTGTTTAGAAACGAATGCGTTTTTTTTTACAGTGCAAACGCCGATATCATATCGCTACGCACAACTGTCGCTCGCGATTCGCCTACACGTATGAAAATCCTACGTGATAAGAATTAGCGCGTGACAATGGATAACAGTAGCTCCGGTGTTCAACTCCACCGAATATATAAAAACACAGGTATATGGAACTCCGGCACCCTTTTGTAGACATTATAACATTTAGCAAAAAGGTCCGCCGTTCAACCAACCGCGCAACGTTTGTTCATAAAACAGTAAACAAAACACCAAAAGCTATTTCTCTAACAGCCACCTTTTCTCTCCTCGCTATATTATGTATATTATGAAAAAAGAAAAGAAAAGAACATTCGCGCGCGAGATAGAGACAACTAATCAATAGTCATATAAACTGCATTAATTCATGTGTGTGGCGATAGTAATATTATTATTTTTTCTGTGTTGCTTTTTTTATTTCGATAGTACTTCTCTCACTAGACACGATTCAACATATAGAAAGTTTATCGTTATTATTTAATAATTATTATTTTATCATTTATAATTATTATCTTAAAGCTGTCTAAAGACTCACTGCGTGGCAGGAGCGTCATGTTTTTTTTCATTCATTTTTATATTACTTTGCTTATTCTTACGCGTGTGTCAGACGGTATCTCTTCATTATTTTTGTTTTCTTTATATCTGTTTCTCTCTTTCTCTCACCCTTTCTCTTGCGTCTTTTTTTTTAGTTAGGTACGTTTGTAGTCGTCCTCGCTTTTTAATAACGTGTTAAAATGCACGCTATCGCGCGTACATTTCAGTAACACAGTATCTCCTCCCTTTTTCTCTAGTCGCCATAGACGTGTTTTCTCTTTACGTGTATTTATATCTTAAATATCTACTACTTGTGGCTGCTTTGTGATTTGTAATTTGCATAGATCACAATGTCATACCATCTGCGCCAGTGAACAATTTTTTTTCTATGCTTCTTCCCCTCGCAATTGCCGTCTACAACGCTCCTTCCGAACAATATACAATGCCTGTTGCACAGATTGTAGGTTTCTTTCTGATCCTCTTCTTGAACAACTCAACAAAAAGGTTTTTCGATAATAAATTTAGAAATATGCAAAAAAATGCAGACATGTGAAAGTTCGTAAAGAATCTGTTGAAATAGATTTCGTTCGTCGTTTTCGTTAGTTAATAGAATAATTAATAGTTTCATTATATATATATATAATGAAACACTCGCGCATTTTAAATATGTGTTTAAAGAACAGCAAAATTATTTCGAAAGATTATTTCGAAGAAAATTATACTTTAGAATCGAAGAGGATCTAGATTTCTCATGTTTCACCTACTTGTGCGTACTTGAGATTGTTATTGTGATTTATTTCATATTTATATTCGTCAAAACGACCTACATGCTAAGTAAATTCAGACCAGCCGAAATTGTAAATTTTAGAAGAAAATGCAACTGAAAAATAATTATTTTTTTTTATCGAAATATGTTAGCAATAAAAGTTTATCGCTAGAAAAAAATAAAATTTTCTTCATTTTATATATCATTGAAAATGCAAACGCGCCGATCGCGCATTCAATCGAACGCGTCTCAATTAAATAGCATTTTTTTGATAACGCATATCTAAGTCTTTCTTCCACTATACGAGTCTCTCGTTTCATATTCGCACCAGTGCGAAATATAAATTTATGTCAGTTTGCCGTTTCAATCACAGAAGAAACACAAAAGAGAACGGATAGATATTTATCATTGTGTTGATATTAGCACAGCGTTGTAGAATCGAAGCGTATTTAGATTTCCTTTCTCCTCGAAAAAATAACACAATTGCGTGTTATTCTCCCGCTTCTCTCTTTCTTTCTTTTTCTTTTATCACCCGTCTTGAAATATTACTTTTCCCTTTCTGTGCCATTCGTTTTGTCTCATCCTTCTTCCTGTGTCCGGCAAGAGGGACCTAAGCAACTGCAACGTCCAACAACATTTTCAATTCGATTGATTGTACGTTGCCGAATTTGTCATAATTGCCTGGGTCCGCGGACATTGGCATTTCGTTACAATTATACAGTTATATAGATTCTATATAAATACCTATTATGCATTTGTATAATACATACCTAATATGCAATTGTGTTAGAACTTGACCATCGTTCAAACTTATGTAACTTAATTACATACACCGTCTCTTGTACCGTGTCTCTTGCGGCGGAATATGTTTTTTTGCGGTGGAATATACGTCGTGCGCGTATCATTATTTATTTCGTGTGAATTCAATGTGGAGAGTATCGAAATTGCGTGTTTGGTGTTTTTTTTCCAAGTGTATATTGCATGTTTTTACGTGCATAAGTTCATGCATGTATATATGTATATAGTATTGTGTGTGTGTGTGTGTGTGTGTGTGTGTGTGTGTGTGTGTGTTGCATTTTGTAAAAGCGCATTTCTCTTACGCGCCTTTTCCATACATATGATCGCGTGCACACCTTTCGTATGAATCGACGAAACAAAACATATAATTAACTTTGTATAATATACATATTAATATGTATTAATATATGGTTTCATATTCTCTTGGATTACCATCCCTTTTTTTCTCTCTCCCTCACCTATGCTATATATATTATCTCATTACTTTTAATAAAGACGTCGTTCAGTTTTTAAACGAGTGTACGATGTCGCGGTGCAGACAGTAATACATAAATATTCGGATATTTACGATAATACGCGAATATTTCCTCATTTTTATTCTTGGTTTCTTTTTCTCTTATGTTTCGTTCAACTTAACCACGGTAGTAAATCGCACTCTCTTATCGCCGAGAAAACGACAATGGAGTCGCAAGAGGCGTTCAGCAATATTTTATCTACATCTTCACACTATCTGCGACTTTTGCTCGATGAGTGTTCACCGAAAATACAGCGACTTGATTCGAGAATTTCTTTTCCGGTTAAATCGAAGAGAGACATACTACCTACGTAGACACGATAGATCTTTTTCCTTATTTTCTCTTTCTCTCGCGACAAACCACACGTTTTTTTCCCTTTCTACTTCGTCGTGATATAATCGTTAATATAACAACTATTTATTCATAAATTCTGAACGATCAAATTCAATTGTAACGTGATACACACTACAGTCCATTTCCCGTTCAAAGATTCTTGTTCGTTCAACGCACACACGTGACAAGTAAAACGCGTACTCTGAATGTCTGAGAATGAAAAATTAGTACAAGAAGCTCAGTGAAACCAAATAGACGTGCGTTTGCAGAAAGCCAGGAAATGAACGGTAGTACTCATAACGTTAATCGATGGCAACTCGTGTTCGCCTAAAAAGATATCGCGCAATAATTATACTCTCGATTCTCCGTCGTTGCGTGTCTCTTTTTTTCTTGTTATCTATTCTGTGTTAGTCGCACGAGCGGCAGTGACTCGTTTTCTCTCCATGCAAACACACACACGCTCACACTCGCTCGCACGCACGCACGCACGCACGCACGCACGCATACACACACACACGCACAAAATACATTCACCATCTATCTATCCCTTTTCCACCTTCTATCTTTTTCACCTTCGCGAGACGCGCCAATCATTAATAACCATGTACCGTCGTGCACCCCGTCTTTTTTCATTTTTTTATCAAATCTGTGATTAAATGAATATATATTCAACAATCGACTGATACTCTTTACCGCGATATAATAGCCATATTTCAGGCGAGTTTTGGTGTTCGCGCTTGATGGCAAGTAATGACGGTGGCGATGACGATGATGGTGTCGATGACGGTATCTCGGTGACAGGCGACGGTGACAGTAATGTGATGTCAATGGCGGTGCGACAATGACGATGATCATACCGATGATCATGTCGATGTCATAGCCGATGAATAATAATGACGATGACCGACGATGGCATAGACTCTGACAAGTTCCTTTACTTCGCTTAATGACTTGAAAACAAGTTATAATTCCCAAATGTTCGAGTTAAGTTAAAGCCTTTTTCACTTGATTAAGGGAGAGTCTAAATTTGGATTGGGGTTAGGCTGTGTGTTCGAGGATGGCGATGGTACCTGTGCCACCACCGAGCCCTTCCCCTCGGACAATACATTCCCTCCGCCGCTGCTGCTGACGCCGCCGCCCTCTTTCATCTTTTCGCAATAATCCGCAAAGATGTCACGGAAACGCGCCCAAGACTTTTCCGGTACGGTGATGGCTGTCCTGAAGTTTGTCTTCACCTATAAAAATGCGTTCCGTCCTGCATTATTATTATCTGTATTGAATTAAAGCGTAATTTTGGATAGATTATATTCATTTTGTGCTTTATTTAGGACTACATGTTTAGGAAAAAAATAAATTTTATTAATTAATTTAACACAACCCCGTAAATATTTTATATATACAGAAAAAAGGATATACGGAGAAAGGCCTTTTATATCATATAATATTATTATTAGATTTCTTAATTAATTTGGAGTAATCTTTTCTCGGCGAAATAAATATTTTGACGTCAGTTTCGACTTTTTTTTCTCCCTCGTATCTCATAGCACGTACCTCAGAAATTCTCATGTAGATACCACGGTTGTTTTGGCCGATATCAAAATAGAAATTCTTACTATCCACGCGCATATAGCGGCCCTCCGGTAAGTCACCTTTAAAGCCACCGTCGTCCGTCCCGAATTCTTCGAGAAGGTCCGTTAACGCATCGCGAAACTCTATCATACCTTGCGCTGGTATTGCAATCTGTGTCCTAGGTCCTCCCCGTGTTATCGTCTGCGACACCTGCGAAGAGTAACATGGAGATATATATTATACTTGAGGTATTCCATGTCAATTCGCTGTACAGTTTGTATCTATAACGCATAAATCATTATATCGGATTCCACATATTCCTTCTTCATCAATGACTCTAGAAGAGCTCTATTCATCTTTGTCGTCCTTCGAAAAGAGCATATCTCTTGAGACGAAAGCCAACAGATTCTCTTCTTATGACTTAGCGTAGAAAGTAAATATATTGGCTGGTACATACAGGGTGACTCACCCGCAGGAAACGGCCGCGAGAATTCTCCTTGAGGTCCAAGTAATATCGCCTATTATCCTTCACCATCATTTCTGACTTGAGTTTGCCGTCATCTGGTACGTTTTCCGGATTTGGCGGACCTGATTATGCAGTATCATAAACAAAAATGAATTAAGTATCTCTTTCCATTAAAATAAAGACATGTAAAGTAAAGACAATTATTAACGAGATAATTATTATAAGTCAAAACAAATTTTAGATCACATTATAAAATATTGAGATTTTATCGATAGACTTCAAATAAAGATTACAATGTTTCATTATATATGTATATATAAAAGTTATATATATATATATATATATATATATATATATATATATATAAGTTTCATTACATATTAAGTATATTAACTATAATTACGATGTTATTAAAATTATACTCCTTCGAATTAATAAATGTTAAAATGTACCTAGAGATGCGTAAAAATCGCTAAACGTCGACAGATGGTCCCGAAATTCGGATGCTGTACTGAGTGCCAAATAGATTTGGCTTCTTCTTCCATCCGCTCCAATCTGGAACAAAAAAAACAATTATGTAAAAAGATAAATTATTGTATTAGAAAGATTAGACGAGTTCTCATGTATGACATATATCGATAGATAAAATTTTATATCCGTAATAAAATATGTTTCTATATAATTTTAATAAAATGAGTTTGTCAAAAAATATCTGGAAGCATTTTGCAGATATATATCGATTTAATCTTGTAATTTTTTTTTACTTTTATAGTGTCACAAAATCTACACACACACACACACACACACACACACACAAAATCAATAAATAATTATTAAAAGCAAAAAAATGTTAAGAAATTTATTTCAATCACATATTATCGCCATGTAAGCTCATTCTTTAATATTTGATTATTAATTATTTAATTAATTAGTAATAGATTCCATAATTTTTTTCTGTCTCAGAATCTAAATGTTTATATGGTACATGCATTGAGAGTTAAGTTAAAGGATAAAATAATACCTCAGCGACTTTGATAAACCTTCCACGTCTGTTTTGTTTTACGTCGAGATAAAATCTTTTGCTTTGAATTTGCAGCATTTTTGTCGCCAATTCCTGCTCGCTCTGCTGGCCTTGCTGACCTACAATAGACGCAAACACAGTTTATTAATATTATTAATATATTAACAAATATTTATTTATTAATATTAGCAATTATAATACAGCGGTTTAAAATTATTGGGTGGAAAATAATAGATTCGAACTTTAGAATAGACTGATGAACATCTCATTCGTTTCATCGAACACAATTTTGTTTCATAATGCTTGTATTTCATCAGTGTCTTTTCTGCGATATTCTATTAAATAAATAATGTTTAAATAATGATTCAATGGATCATATATATAATTAAGTTTAAGTCGATACAAAAGTCCTTCACAAAAATATACAATACAGTTATCGAGACAAATTAAACAACATTAGCAAAATGTAAGGAAGCTTAGAAAAATAAGATATAGAAAATAAAAAGACAACATAAATAAAAATATTATTCAAATTGTACATTTGTTAATCATCTAGAAAATATGCATTTTTATTCTATCAGTTAATATCAAGAAAATCAATTTACATAATAACACATGACATTATTCTGTTAATTTCTATTAATAACTGTTAAATACTTGATCCAAATAATTTTTTTCTGTTTATATCTTTTTATAGAGAAAAATGATTGATTTCAGGTACAATCATTAAATTCTTAAATTTTGAACATTTATTATTAAATCTGCGAAAAGAAAATGAGGTCAATATTACACAACGCATATCTATATAACTTTCTATATACTACATCGAGTAATCAAAGGTTATCCTAATGTTATCAAATTTGTACAGTATAACATTATTAAATTAATTATTCCTAGAAAAACTGTTGTAAATATTTAATATTATCATATTAATAATAATATATAAAAAAATCAATAAAGAAGTTTCTTAAATTTAATATGATCGATATGATCCAGGTTAGCGAAAAATAGAAAAGAGTTTTTCTTTTGATTAAAATTCATTTTAAAAAAATTCAGATTATTAAAAAAACATATTTTTAAATACTGAAACATATTGTAATACTTGAAACATATTTTTAAATACTCGTCACAAATACGTACATATTTTTTAATTGATTTTTTTTTATGTTAGTCAATTATGCGCGCGACGGTTTCATAGAGACGAGCGGCATAAGCATGAGAACGAATCGACAGGAACAAAAAGAGGGAGGGACACTCGACGGGGACAGTAGGTTGGTAAAGAGGTGACCCAGTGTTTATTGGGTCACTCTGCGCTCAATCCCCTCCGTCGGATTTTCTCGGGTCACATCTCTCTCTCTCTCTCTCCCCCTCCCCCCTCTCTCTCCTTTTCGTTCTTTTCTGTTCGGCTTAGCAAAGCGATCTTGAAATTACAGTCCAGGAAGAAACTGAGAATACTTGACGGCCGTTACAACTGGGCCCAAGCAAACGGTTTATCCTGGAGATAAAACAAGCAGCTCGCTATAACACGTGCCAGAGCGATGTTGCTAGTCTTCATCGATCAATAACAGCTGCACCAGAAGAGAGGTCAACGACCTCTTTGGTGCCCCACTATCACGACCAAATATACTCCTACTGCTTTTGATGCTACCTTTGCTTCTTCTTCCTTCTTATCCTGAAAACTATTGTTATTTGTCATCCGAACAGACACGATTCATTCTCGAACTCGCGTTCATCGCACGACAATCTGGAGCAATGTGATGTAAATATACAAGAACAATATATATCGACGAAAAATAGAAATAAATAAATTTCTCTTAGAAATTTTTGCCCCCTCGAATAGTTCCAACTTCTCCTTAAATCGCGTCTGTTAAAATTTTCATATATCTTTTTCCATCCTGTTAATTAAACATGAAGCGTTACCTTAGATGATAATAGAACGAATTATATGCTTCAACAAAAACGTCGCAATTAATTTGATATAACAGAGACTATTAATCCTTCTATCAAGAATATATTAATTATTCACAAATTTTTATAATCACAAATTTTTCATTGTCAAAAAAAAACACGAGAGACTAAAATCGTATTTCTATTCTATAATTAATCTGAAAGTAATTAATACTTCTATTGCTTCCATTTCTTTCTTTTGCTTTCACGCGTATATTTTAAGACAAAGCGAAATATTCATCCGATATGATTCTCTGGAATCATTTTCTGCGATAACTCTTTTTACTAGAAATACTTTACAACGACGTTAATTCCTCTATCTCAGAGTTTGGAAATAAATTTTTGAAATTGTGCGGTTATAATGAAAACTATACATAGGTATGTATAGTACAATATAATAAAAATAAAAATAAATACAAATACACTAAAAAAATTAAAAAAGATAACAATATATGATGGGAGGAAAAAAATATTTTTTAATTGTATTATCAAAAGTAGAAAAATTAAATAATTCTAATCTGACCAGAATTTTCTGCAAAAATCATCCAGAGAAAAATGTTCGATTGATAAATTCCGCAGAGAAAATGATTGATAATTAATTAGTTTAAACGTCAATCATTCTCATCAATCATACATGTTGCTAAATATCAAGATCATTACAATAGCGAAAATTGTTATCGGACATCTGATTGTATATATTATATCTGAAAAAGACAATAATTGAGGATCGAGAATTCGAATAGAAAGGTGTTGGAGAGATCTCCTGCGCAAAGGAGCCGCGCTCGAGAGCGATCGATCGATAGTAGCGCGGCTTAGCTGCACATTATTACGTACTGGATTGTTGCAGGCTGCCTGGAATTGGGACGGGGCTGAGATCGCCCTGGAAAATCCTGCTCTTGAACATCCTATCGATACTACGGTAGTCCGTGCACCTGTGCATAATACGTCCTTCTCCTACGAGGCGCGCTACGTCGCGCTAAAGTCTCACAGAATTCAAGGAAGCCGCATTAATTGACCAATACCCCCTCGTTCCTCTTTCCCTCTCTCTCTCTCTCTCTCTCCCACCCTTGTTTGTCGCAAATTTTCCCTTATTTCAAGCGCAATGAATCACCTTCGTGCAAGATCCCTCATTGCGAAGGGATTCATGTCTCTTTCTCAAAGTAACATTTATATCTTGAGATGAGTAATTCCCATATCCGTATCTCCGCATCTTTCTTCTCCAATCTCAGTTTCACAAGCTTCTCGTTTACGAGCTCTCTTGTGAATCGTTGGCGCATAACTCTCGTCGGGATAACTTGGCGAAAGAGATCGTTGGTCCTACGTTTCTGGGATAACGTCTCGATCGTTACGAGTATCTTACTCAACTCCATCCGTACTAAGCCTTCGATCTATCATTGCGACGATACTCGCAAGCGGACTTACGTCCACCGTTCTCCCTCGCGAAGGACGATTCGCGGGGTCAATCGATGAACACATCGTCTCAAGAGGATACCTCGCGTTCTTAATCGTCTACCACTTGACAGCCACCTTGACCGAGTCGTCGCTTTCCGTAATACTCCGTAATACTCCGATCTATCGATACTTCTTACTCGTCCTCCTCTCGCGGAGGATGAAACGGATCGCGCA